GCAAAGCCTTTGTCAAAAGCAGTTACCTTGTCGACAGCACAAAGAGATGTAGAGACATCGTGATCAATGTTCAGCTGCTACCAAACATACATTTCTTGTAGCATCAAACAAGCTGAGCCCTCCTCTGCAGCCGTTGACTCAATTGATTGAAGCAGCACCAGTCTCAGCAGACTAACCCCCGAGCCTACTACAAGTGCTGCCACAGAAAAGGCTCCGCATGGATGAAAGGTATTTATAGACGTACGGCTCCAGCCATACCGTCCCCCCTCACCCCAACTTCAGTGTCCATCTCTCCCTCCGCCTCCCTCCTCCACCCATACTAAAAGAGCTACTACAAAAAACAACAACTTAGTCTAATAGTTATACAACATGAATGATGAATTGATAGATGGAACCTTTGCGGCTTTATATCGCCTGCGACGTCGCCCTCGATTGCTCTTCCTCGAAGAATTCGATGGTCTGTACAAATGCTACGAAGAATTAGAAGCTAATCCTTTTGGCAACGGCCTGGACGACGCCCGATACCAACGGTTCCTTGGGTCTGTTCCGTCTCACATTCGTCGAGCATTTGTCAAGTTGGATGAGGAAGAGCTTTCTACCGAGGACGCCTTCACAAGCGATCTACTTCAAACACCCTTGATCCAGATTTATGCTCTCTGGTTGTCTACGATTGAACGTCTTCACCGATTCCGCCGTGAAACCTTCGCTTTCTTGGAATCTCTGGTCGTATCCGACGCGACTGCTGCCGCCGCCGCGCCCGACGGTGACGCTTTGGAATGCCAAATTTGTGCCGAGGACATCATTCAACCTGGACAGATCATCCTCCAACTTCCCTGTCACCCTACCCATCTCTTTCACCGCGACTGCCTTACAGTAAGTATCTCTCCTTAACCTCTGCAACCTTCACACGCATCATAGCTGACTTCAATCCTTTTCTGTTGCAGCCCTGGCTTGTATCGGCCGACACCTGCCCTGTTTGCCGGGCCGTGCTTGTTATGCTTCCTCGTCAGCAGCCCGCCCCCCACCTGAATTGACGGCGCTGGCCTTCTCCTCTTGTATTATTTTGTAGTATCGAATTTGTATCTTGAAAATCTATGCAATACATGCCCCCCCCTTCTTCTTTCCATTAAAATATCTTGAGAATTTCAATCATCTTGAATTTAAAACGCGCAAAAGCGCAACACACTCCAATGTCTGGGGTGGTGGTTATAAAAATTAAGCAACCCGTTAAGATACAGACAAAAGATGAATCCGAATATTTCTGAAACAGTTGCGCAAAAAAGGCCTTGCCTTCCGAATCATTGTCTTGGTGAGATCTGATCAACTATCGCGTCTTGATCATAGATTGAGCAGAGTCGAGGTGTCAAGTAAGGTGGATCATGAGTGCTGCGACTCCGCGCAGTTGCCACCCGGCAACTTTTGCCTCCCTATGTCAGCGCACTCTATATGGCTCGATTTTGGGGATATCCAATTGGACATAGGTATCCCTTCAAAAAAAGATAGCCAATGTGTAACTCCACAAAACAACTTGCAATCCCCGACTCCAATGTGGCAAGAGTAGAATGAAATCAGAAATTTGTTTCCCACCTACAAACAAGCAAAGAAACTATAAAACATCATTTATATCTATATCTTTCAATGTGTGAAATAAAATCAATCCATAAAAAATAAATAGTACAAGACCAATCAACAGGAGAAACCCCAAAATTAGCATTAATGTATCATAATATCTATCACATTAACTATTAGATGGTGGCAAGATTTCACTATAGTATAATTCTATCTGCATAGCTTGAAAAAACCGGTTCCTGTACTGTGTTATAGATGGCTCATTTCGAGTTTTATTCCACTAATTATGTTCTATCCCAGTGTAGTATGAATATCAGGCTTCTGCCACTACACTACCACTACCAGCACAAAAAAGGTACTCATCATAAAAAAGCATTTCGTTTTTTCAAAGAAAAAGGACACAGGTGTCTCAAAAATCTTAACCAATACCCAAAAATATCAAAATAACTAAAAACATAATAATCCCAGAAGCCAAACCCAAACCAAAACATTAGTAACACCAAAAATAAATCCAAACCCAAGTTTTAAAACAAATTTTCCCAGATCAACCTTGCAATAATCTGCATACCCCATCCAAACCCAAAGGAGAAATTGTAGATGTTTGAACCCATAAAATAGGATAATAAAATAGGATATTGTGCAGTTAAAGAAACTGATAGACATGTTAGGTGTAAGAAATGGGAAGTCATTAAAACATGATTGTTGAACAAAACTGATAAGAACTAGTAATATATGGAAGAAAAGATCAAACAGAGATTTTAAAAATAGCTTTGAAAGAACTATCAGAATAGATACATCACCTTGATACTGGACAAATATATCAAAGCTGAAAGTTAGTAACTTGGATGTTTGACCTAAAATTCATGCAAGAATGGTGATAAACAGGCCAGAACATCACCTGTCCTCTAAAATGATCAAAGATAGCCACCAAAATTTTCAGTGAAGTGGAGTAAAAGTAACATCATCCTAGGAGGGACAAACTTCAACTGTGAAAATCAAAAATTTCAAAAAGCAGTTTGATTTCACTCCATACAAATAGATATCCAAGAAATGAAAGGTTGAGTTTTGATTGAAATCTTCACTAAATATTGATAAAATGCAGCTTTACAAACTAATTCAAAGACACAACTGGGATCTCAGTCCCAATGAAAACTGACTCAATACTTTAACATAACACGCTGGCAAGCTTTTCCCGCTCATTCAATGTCCATTCTTTCCAAACTTCTTCTGGTGCAGATGAAGCATTGACCCCTACTGAATTCCATCATTGCAGAAAACAACGGACGAGCTCTTCAGGTGTAACCTAACAAGAAAACCTCAAACTTGTCTCGCTTCTTGCACGCCCGGGCGATGTCCGTGAGCTCAATCTATCTTTGCAATCCCCTTTTCAACTGCCTCATCGTAAGCATGAATCACGCAACCTTGCTGACCTTTTTAAGTTATGATGCAAAACTTACAGCGGAAGGCTCAGAATACAAACCACCAATAGACGCCAAACTGCTCGCACCTTACGAGTGTAGACGGAAACCATTGATCCTACAAAACTGGGAAGACCTCCAAGTAGATGGATACATCAGATTCTATCCATACGGAATTGAACTAAACATTGCTGTCAGTTCACAGGATACTTGCTTTACATACCGGTGATTTATCCCTTACCCCCACACATATCAGCATCTCAAAAAAAGCTTCATGCGCAAGGCAAGTTCCTCATTAAATTTCACTCCTTTCAAATCCAGCTCTGCTCTCCCATTGGTGGTAGATCAAGGTGGGTGTTAAGAGCCGTAGAACAACTATCATTCTGTGAGAATTCACTCTAAATTGCCATTGCATTAGCTATAAGTCAAGCAAAATGCAAGTCGATCTTCTAGGGTCTAATCCAGCCAAGTAACTGTCTCATTTTCAGCTCAGGAAGGAAGTTCTTATCATCCATCCTTTAGGCAAATTTTACAAGCTTCATAGAAATAGTCGAATATCACAGTAAAAGTCGTACAGCGAGCTTTCCAACCATGAAAGGTCGTGAGGTTTGTCGTAAGTCAGAAACGGGATATTGATGACTTGGAAAAAAAATTGGCTCAAGTTTATACCATAAGAATGGCTGGTCAGATACTTAGGGAAAAGGTGAGTATGTACCGGAAAAAACTCGAAAGTCTTTTTTAATAGTTGCTCGCGCTTCTTAACTGAAATTTCAGAACGGGTTTATTAGTATTGTGGTGAGCGCAACTTTTGGCATAGCATTGGCAAAGAGAAACTTAATAGAGGAACATAGAGAGGCAAATATTAGCCAAGTTTGTCACATGTCAATAGACTGTTCCATTTCATTTTCTTCTCCGTGCACACCTTGAACAATGACCACCTGCCCTTCAACAGCTCAAGCACAATCAGAAAACGCGCGCGAGTGTTTTTGGATATTATCATGTCATTCTGATGATTGGTGGTTTAGATGGTGTGTAGACGTGATTCGTGATAGGGAGAATGAAGAATCAAGCTTTGGGCGAGATCTTCTGAGGCTTGTCCTTTCTCCTTCTACTTTTTTGTGTCTCATCGTTCCCGACCAAAGGAAATCTTAACTTCCATCGGTTCATGTGCGTCACCTGCTTTGAGACCTCTCCCTTCTTTTTTGAGGGCACCTCATGAATAATGTACAAAGAAACAACACAAGCCTTCTTCCTTTTTGCAAGCGGTTTTGTATCATGGTCAGAGTGCCTCTAACTGGGCATTGTGCCCCTCCGGCATAGGACTTTGTATAGAAAAGGATTAATGCCCAGGTTCTTTCGCCTGTGACAGGAAAGAAGAGTGAATCTAGAGTCATGATTTCATTGGTATGAAAATACTTGGGCAGTTTTCCGTCCGACACATATGACTAGGGGGATAAGCAACAACAAAAGTCTGCAATCCAGTAGTGTTTTTTTTTTGGCTTGATCAGGAAGACAATTAGCCTGAAATTATATTTCCGTGCAAATTGTTGCCAAGCACAATACGCCTGGAAAAAACTCGCCGCTTGGGTAGAAGCTACACCACCAGTATTAAGGCAAACAAGACATCTTGTTGAAAGCAGTTGGCTCATCAACTGTGCAGCGAGATGTAGAAAAAGTGTGATACATAATTCACAAGGGGACCAATGTTCAGTTGCTGCCTTACAATATATACATCAATTTTAGCATCAATCAAGCTGAGCCCCTCCTCTGCAGCCGTTGAATCAATTGATTGAAGCAGCACCAGTCTCAGCAGACTAACCCCCAAGCCTACTACAAGTTCTGCTACAGAAAAGGCTCCGCATAGATGAAAGGTATTTATAGACGTACGGCTCCAGCCATACCGTCCCCCCCTCACCCTAACTTCAGTGTCCATCTCTCCCTCTGCCTCCCTCCTCCACCCATACTAAAAGAGCTACTACAAAAAACAACAACTTAGTCTAATAGTTATACAACATGAATGATGAATTGATAGATGGAACCTTTGCGGCTTTATATCGCCTGCGACGTCGCCCTCGATTGCTCTTCCTCGAAGAATTCGATGGTCTGTACAAATGCTACGAAGAATTAGAAGCTAATCCTTTCGGCAACGGCCTGGACGACGCCCGATACCAACGGTTCCTTGGGTCTGTTCCGTCTCACATTCGTCGAGCATTTGTCAAGTTGGATGAGGAAGAGCTTTCTACCGAGGACGCCTTCACAAGAGGTCGACTTCAAACACCCTTGATCCAAATTTATGCTTTCTGGTTGTCTACGATTGAACGTCTTCACCGATTCCGCCGTGAAACCTTTGCTTTCTTGGAATCTCTGGTCGTATCCGACGCGACTGCTTCCGCCGCCGCGCCCGACGGTGACGCTTTGGAATGCCAAATTTGTGCCGAGGACATCATTCAACCTGGACAGATCATCCTCCAACTTCCCTGTCACCCTACCCATCTCTTTCACCGCAACTGCCTTACAGTAAGTATCTCTCCTTAACCTCTGAAACCTTCACACGCATCATAGCTGACTTCAATCCTTTTCTGTTGCAGCCCTGGCTTGTATCGGCCGACACCTGCCCTGTTTGCCGGGCCGTGCTTGTTATGCTTCCTCGTCAGCAGCCCGCCCCCCACCTGAATTGACGGCGCTGGCCTTCTCCTCTTGTATTATTTTGTAGTATTGAATTTGTATCTTGAAAATCTATGCAATACATGCCCCCCCCCCTTCTTCTTTCCATTAAAATATCTTGAGAATTTCAATCATCTTGAATTTAAAACGCCCAAAAGCGCAACCCAGCTTGCGTCTCTCTCAGTTTTTCAACTGTCTAGAGTGGGGTAAATACGTCAAGGCTCAAGCAAACCTGCAAGCTGACCCACTGCCGAGATGCAGAAACTTCTTCCTGGGAATCAAATCCTTGCCTCCCAACCATCTCCATAGCGCGATTCCAATGATCGTGTACCGGGGAGCAAAAATATCGGTCTTGACACGTGATTGAGCAGGGTAGGGGTGTAAGCTGCAATGGGGGGGGGTCTTCGTCACGTCTCGCACCTCCGCGCAGTCGTGCTGCCGCCCCAGTGTAGCCCAGTTAGGGGGCTCCATCGGCAACATTCACCTGGCTGCACCGGAGAGTTCAATTTGGCCTCGATGGCGACCGAAGCTCAAACGACTCCAGCGCCAAACTTCATGAAGTTGCCACTCAAGACGCAACCGCAAACCATGGTCTCCGACGAATCCTGGGTACAAGAGATTCCATTTCCTCAATCATCGTCGCATAACTTTTTTTTCATATATTCACTCTTCTCCACTTGTCGCGGGCCAGTCCAAAAAAAAAAAACCCTCTCTCTTTCCTAATTCCAGTCTCGAATAAAAAAAAATCAACCCTCTCTTGTTCCTAATTCCATTCTCAAATAATCAAAAATTCACATAACCATGATCAAATTTTAATTCAACAGTATTATGAACAAGTGATTAAGATTGGTGCTAGAATATTATATACGAACTAGTGAATTCCAAAAACATCAAATATTAGGTTACATAACTAGGACTTTCAAGCAATACATACGCCAGTACACAAAACAAATATCTTCATAAATAAACTCATAAAAACATTTTTTGCTTCTTTTTTGAAAAAATGCCGAATTGTAATAAATAGGAAGAGAGGGGGAGAGAGAGAGCAGGAAAAGAAAAAAAAGGGGGGGGGACAGAGAGGTTCAAGAAGAGACATTAGATCGAGTCATAAGCCCACACAAATGGGCCCTCAGGTTTCTAATAAATGTCAGCTGCAGTTCGAGATCGATGGTCTGATTTTTTGGATTCAGATTAGAGTTTGAATCAGGAATCTGTTTCTCAGTCGGAATCGTCGATTCTAATCCTTCATTGCAATTCTCATTTGACTGCAACTCCTCATCACTTGAATTTGCATTTGGATGAGATTTTTCATTGGAATTTGGGATCGAATTCGGGTTCAAATTTGCGACTCGATTCAAGTTCTGGTTATCGTTCTGATGCAAAGTCTGATGATTGTTCTGATTCAAACTCTTGTCTATTGTTGAACTCAAATTAGAGTTCCGGTTCTGACTAAAATTCTCATTCTGATTACGACCCTCATTCAGATCAAAACTCTGATCCAAATTCTGCTGCAGATCCAAATTCTGTTCCAGATTCAGATTGCGATCCTGATTGACATCGGGATTAGGATTAAGATCCGGATGAAGATTAAGATGAGAATGAGGCCCTAGACGAGCTAGAGAGTTGACAGGAAAAGAGCTTTGATTGAGAGTAGATTCGAGATGATCTAGGAGGATGCTAGAATCTAGATCAAACAATCGATTATTATTATTACTAGTCTCTTCCATCAAATCTGTCCTTGGATCTCCTCCTCCTCTTCCTCCTTCTGTTACATTATTCTCATTAACCAATCGCTGGTGATCGGATGCAGAGTTAGCTTGAGTTGGGTTTGGAAGTTGATGGTTTAGAAGTGAAGATTGCTGATTCTGGTGTTGGTTTTCCTGGTTTTGACCCTGGAGTTGAGATTGGTTGAGGTTTTGGAGATGATCTAGATTTTGAGTTTGATGATGAGCTTGAAGATGAGAAAGACCAATACCCAGAAGACCGTCCAAGTGCTGCCTCTCAAAAAGTCCGAAGCTGTTCTGAGCGCCCTGAAGCGAAGTGAGAGTAGAAGAATTTGACTGATAGGGTGGAGAAACAGACGAAGAGGAGGGATGAGGAGAAGGGAGGAGGTAGAAGGGGAGAGAGAACTCTAGACGGTCGAGTAATCTGACCATTTCTTGCACGGAGAGTGGGACTAAAGGCGGAACGGGTATGGGGGCGGAAGGGGAGTGCTGGGTATGCCCGACAGGACGCTGGCGATCGACTACCGATTCGTCGACAGCAGGCAATGTTGTATTCGCATACTCGGGCGGAGTCTGGCCGTCCACCGTCTCGGCATTTGTCGGAGACGAGCCCGGCTTAGCGCTGGGTTTCCGTTTCGGGCGAGGCTTGATTGCCCGCTTAGTACTCGGTTTACTTGGCTCTTTGGTCGCCGTAGTAGGGTTATTTGATGAACTGGGAGAAGGGTCGAGAACAGGCACTCCTTCGCCGCTCCCAGGCGACTCATGATTATCTTCCAGCTTACGGTAGCGAGATTCTTCCAAGAGTTGGCTTGCAAGGAATTTAGATTCCTGGACGAGTTCTTCATCAGTCAACATCTGTCTATCCTCCGTCAGTGCCGGGCATGGTGGGTACTGCAGATCAAGATGGGATTCAAGTTCTAGAAAGTCTTCGATACTCAGTTGGGAAGATTCAGGTATTTGGAGGTCTCGCTGGAGTTGGATGAGGGCCGATTGGGTGGCCATGAGTGATTTCTCCATGTCAAGGTCGGAGGCGAACTGAGAGGAATGGTTCGAGGCGGGATTTTGGTTGAGGGCGGTGGTGAAGCCGTCGTCTAGACGGGCTGAGGTGATATCGGTATGATTGAAGCAATTACGGATCGTCGTTGGAGTGATTTGGTCCCATGCAGAGTGGGCACATTGGAGCGCGAGTCGTTGCTCGTTTGGCTTTTGGGCCAAAGCTTGACTGGCTTCTTGATGACTAATTTCGGTGTAAATCTCAAGGAGGTTCCGGCGATAGTTCGACTTGAAGGTCCGGATGATTCCCGCCAAGAGAGGTTGAACAAATCTGAGCGTCGGCCCGGGCAGTGGGATCAAAACGGTGCTCGCAATCGATTCCAGCTCACATAGGTGCCCTCGAGCGTTATCAATCATCAATATCGCCTTTCGCCCCAGACGCTGCATTTCTCGATCAAACTTCCTGATCCACTCCGAAAAAATTGGCGACGAGATCCGGCCTCGAGTCGAGTATCGATACCAGTATGGCTTCTCCCCCAGTGGCGCCTGGAAAGTTTCTGATTCGAGACTCCGCCCAATAACCAGCGGGGTCCGTTTGTCACTCCCATCTGCATTCGTACACAGCAAGTAAGTTAGTCGAAGTCGTTCGGATGGATTGACGTCTAACGAGCCAGTGAGGGCACCTAGACTAGTGTGAAAAAGGAGCGGTTAGCCTAAACATTCAAACTCAAGATAGATAAGCTCACTTACTTGCAAAATAACTCGACTTCGCCCAGTGTATAGATATCTTTTAGGGCATATGAATCGGTCAGCTTTTTCAGCTTGTCACGGATGGAATCGAGTCGAGAATCTAGTTCTAAATCGAGTGGAGGAGGAGGGGGAATTTGGTAACTCTTGATATTATTCCTAGCCTTGAACCTCAGAAGCCATCCGTTTGAGACCTTAAGTAGATTCTCAGAGATCTGATAGATTTTCATGAATGACTTGGTGCGTTCCTTGAGGATCTCATCTGTAGGAAGATCGTGCCTAGACTTGGCTTCGATGAAGTATCGGAGTAGGGTATCTTCTATCTGTGGGAAATCTCCGGTTCTTTGTCGTTTACTTGAAGATCCTTTATCCAAAAGATAGTCGCGTAACTCTTCTTCTTCCTTTAACCATCTACTGAGTTGACTTTGGGTTAGGCCGAAGCGTTTTGCGGTCTGCTTTTGGGTGGACTTGGTCTTGTTATGGTGATCGATTACCTGTAGCTTGTGTGCGACGGTAGTCGAGTTCCTCTTCTTGCCAGCACTCGCCAATGGCGGTGGTGATGATTGGTGAGTGTCTTGATTCTCTAGTTGTTCGATCAGATAATCTAGCGGATTGGGATCGGTGACAGCGATTGAAATCTGCTGCTGAGCTAAAGGTTGATCGAGTGGGGCGTCAGGTAGATTTGAAGTATTTTCGATCGGGACCGGCCCTCGTTGATTCTCGGTTTGAGGCCTGGTGCATCGTTCTAACCAATCCAAACAGATGTGGTTTTAGGTACTATAGTTCCTTCTCTTTTTTGTTGTTATAAATTGTCAGTTAACTGACCAACAACGAGTCCCAGGATCTTTCTGAGATGAGGTTCCAGGAGCTGTTGGTCAAACGATTCTTCCCAGACATGGTGTTTTCTGATGGCCTGTAGGTAGCTGGTAAGTGATTGTATTCCATGTGGGCCTCGTTTGATGTTCTGATAGGCCCGTTGGCCTTCTGGGAAGAGGCTGTTGAGGATCAGCTGAAGGTGTTCAGATAGTTTGATCGGTTGAGAGTGAGAAGGTAGTTGGTTGAGGGAGTGAGTGAGTGTTAGGTGTAAGATGTCGTTCTCGGTTGCAGTTGGTACTGATTCATCTAAGCAGTGGATGGTCAACTGGAGTTGTTCTAGTAGCGAATCGACCCTCTTGACTGCTGTTGACCGTTCTTGTTGACCAGTTTCTGTGGGTGGGGCGTTCATCTGATGCTGAGTTGGCTGGAATATGGATTCAAGCCAGAGTGGGACCGCCAAGTCGGCAATGACACGTGAAAAAAATAAATATGCTTATACGTACACATCTTGAACCTTTCACTTCAATGTCACAGCCACAGACAAAACCAAGTGTCCAATCAGTGCAGCAGACAAATGTCACACAGCAAGCACAAAAAAATCAGACTCTGAGTCTTGGTTTCATGCAGGACTCCATCAACCCAAGTAATATCCTGGTTGAGGTGGATTTATGTACTGGTCACAATGTACTTGTTGATTTTTTGTAAATCATGAAGGTTCAAGGAATCTCAGTAACCTCAACAAGATTCAGTGGAGGACTTCCCGTCGAATTTACAGCCCCCTGTAAAGCTATTTTTACAAGCTCGTGAAAGCGTTTTCCCAGCGAAAAATTAGCTTTACAGCCTGTAAATCTAGCTTTACAAGGCCTGTAAAACCCACGGGAAGTCCTCCAGTTGTGGTACGATGATTTGATCATTTTTACCTGCGGGTTGAATTTGAGTCTAAAAGGATTACATAATTGAAGCACAGTGGCAGGAATAAAGATCTTGTGAACATGCCTCTTCAGTATTGGCCCCTTTATTAGGTGGTATTGCTGTGAATTTCAGTGGCTCATCATTGATGGTGTGTTGAAATTGTGAGTCAAAAATGTTTTGTAACATACATAACCAATCAATCAGTAACTAGAAAGATAAGCTTTTGTGATTATCAATTTCAGATGAACCAAGACTTATTTTTTGGATCAATATAAAAAAATATCAATAAGAGCATATTCACTGGGATTGCCAATACTTGATTTGTTTTTTATCTCGAAATTAGCAATCTGACCCCCAAAATTGTCTCTGAGCACAGTTTCCAACTGTTGGACTGGTTTCTGTTTTTTCATAATTGATCTGCAGACTATATTCAGCCTTCACACATCTAGAGAGCCAGACACAGAAGTCAACCAGGCATAATCACAGCAACTCCTTTTTCACTCACATTCTGTGATTCTTCATACATAACCTCTTTCTCTCCCCCTCCCCCCCCCCCAATTTCCCCCATACATATTTCTGCACAAAATTCCAATCTGCTAAGCATAAATACCAATCCCTAAACACCAATCCACTAAACACCAATCTCCTAAAAAATTAAACCTTTATCACCACAAATTCATGACTTCCCTCACATACATCCAATCAATCATTTTGTTGATAAATATCATTAGGGGGTTCTCATGAGGCCCTCATCAGTAATATTCTACAAGTCTATACGTGTGACCAGATAAATATGATGGTAAGCAAGGCTTCACACCCACATCAGAGAGCAGCATCCCTTCAATGCAAACAGGGCCAACACCAAATCCTAACAAACTACTCAAAATGGACCAAACAAACCAAGGAATTCCAACCCGAGGAAAAATCATTGCAACTGGCAAAATTAAAATGACAAGATGGTAAAGATAGTTTGAAATGTTGATGAGCCTATTCCATGTAGGAAAATTCAAGAACAATCTTTGTTACATTGTTCCATCACGTTCTATACACCTTTATCCTGTTATTTTAGAAGACAGTTAAACATGTTGGAAGTTTTATGAAGCATTTATGGTAAATTTCATCAAGTCAGTGTGGGATTCACCAAGGTGATATTGTTCTGATGAAGAGTTCTGTCCTGCAGGAACTGATCTCCAAATTGGAGGGATTTATCCCAACCTTCCAGAATAAGGCTCCACTTCCAAGTGCATTTTTTCACTGTTTTGCTGTTGTACGTGTAGGAAGGCCCACAGGATGTTTCCACACTTCCCTGTGAAGTCATCATTCTATTCCTCACTATGTAAAATCATGGTCTATTTTCAATGTGAAATTTCAAGAATTCTCACACAAAGTTAAAGTCTTGTATAAACCAAATACAACTGTGCACACATCTCATACAGTCATCAGTTTTTCTCTTTCTCAATTCACGTTGAGATCAGATTGAAAGATTATAAAAGAGGTGATGAGGAGGCTTTGAGAAAAAGAGAAAGAGGATATCCCACAAGCCTGCAAACCAAAGTACATTTTTCTCTGCCTAATCGTGATTCTAAAAGCTGAAATCAAGCATGTATATGACTGTTTGTGAAAAATGGCCGCAATTGCTAATGCCCTTGGGCAAGGCTTTGGGCCTGTTAATCTAGAAAATATAGACTCTTGAGACCTTCAGAGATAACTAACGTGCAACTACAACTATCTTGAAACTGAACCTCTAGATGACGCTGGCAACGTGACTGCCAAAGATGTCCGCGGCACTTCGGTACTTTGGGTCGCCTCCGACAGGACTATACAACTGGATGAAGAAGGATGAAGATTGAAATGATGATTTCTCTTTTTGAAATCTCTTCGAATGAAATGTATTCCGTTGCATTTTAACGATAGGCCAATTGGAAGGACTTGCTAACCTGCTCATTGCCTCACTTTGAAGGCTTGTAAGCTCTTAGTATCGAACCACTTCTTGCAGTGGGACTTCATCTGACTTCATTCATTCCATGTAGCAAACTGTCACAGAGAGAACCAGGTGCATAGTTAATTCAATACATCTTGGAAAAACCCTTCCGAGGAGTATTTATGTATGATCCCCAGATTCGTGCGTCTTAATCACGGCCTTCCTCTCGAATGTGACGAGCCGAATACCACATGTTCATATAACGCAATCTGTTATGACCGCTACTACAATCAGTGATTCAGCCGTGCGTCGAGCCGATGACATGACCGAGAGCAGCATATGCACATCGCGCCCCACTTCGCCCCACGACGACAAACAAGGGCCGTGCAAGATACTAACATTTATTAGTGTTCAACTGGGCCCGCTCAGCTATTGCCAGGCGGGGGCGGTCTTTTGGTAACGACGATCGTGGCGAGGGTTCTAATTGCGCCGGTCCATCTCTTAGAGCGTCCCAACTGCCGCGCCGTGCAGACGATCAAATGGCCATGGGATGGGACTCAAGTGAAAAGAGTGATGACGGAGAAAAGTTTATATGATATTTAGGGGCTCATTTCCTTGATACACACCAACAACCTCATCGAGAATCCAAGCGATTTCACGAGCAACTTTCATCATGGCCTCCCCTTCACCCACCCTTGCAGATATTATCGTGCAATCATCCCAAGGCCCCAAGATCAATCCATTCGTGGAACTCATTCGCGGCCTCGACGAGAAGCAGAACCCGCCGGTAGATGATAGCCAAACTGAAGGTCTCCTCTTCTCCATCGCCACTTACATCGTCGTCTTCTTAGTCTGTCTCGCCATTATTTCTCTGCCCTACCTTCAGGGCGCCGGGGGTCACAAGAGAAGGCATTGGGTCATGAAGCCACAATACCTCGATGGCCGTAAGCGCAGTTTCCTTCAATCTTCTACACCAACTTCTCATGGCCTAGGACGAGTTATGAATGATTCACCAAGGTGTCGCGAGTCTTCTCTGTCTGACTTGATTCGATTTCCTAAACAAAAAAAAAAAAAAAAACAGATCCACAACCTTACTGGATTCTAAACAGGTACAATGAACAGAAAACCCACACACACTTGTTCAATATAATAAATCCTTCAAGGTACCTTGTCGTAGAAGACTCATGTTTCTTTTGCGTGTTTTTGAAAAAAAAAGTGGCTTGATTGTTGCGGTGAGCCACTTGTTTGGAAGTACCTTATTTCTAGTCTTCCTAGGACTCAGATACAACGCGTTTAAATCGGGCTATGCAGCCGAGTCGTTCTACGGCTCTGCATGGTAGGTCTTGTTTATTCTTTCAACAGAAATTACATCTGGCCGATGGCAAAGGTTTCCAGGGAGCTTACTCTCGTTTTTATAATATTTTGCTTCTTCTGATAACAAAAAAACTACAGGCTAGAATTGAGATGGGTAAGAATAATCTCATGTCCATCAATCATAAACCAAGATTACCTTATCAAATCGAAATTTTAACGCTTTCTCCCCTTGTTTTAGTACCCGAGTTATTGCTCTTTCTTCACTCAAGCATGGAGCACTTGGTTTGTTCGGTTAGTATTTTTCTAAGATAGATTACCAATGCTAAACTCGCTGACATTGATCTTTTGATCCCAGAGCCTCCGATGCATCCCTGAAGGGCAAAAGCAGTGGGATCCACCCCTTGGCATTTAATATCAACTTGATAGCACTCCCGTTGACCGCCTTTATATTGGCACTCATCCTGATCTCGGCACAGGTAGCCTCCATGAGTGCGCAGAACAACAGCTACAAGGACCTCATCAGCTCGCTCACCGTAATGAGTCTTCAGTGGCACCCAGGGCAAAACTATCTCAGTAGCCCCCTGTTCCATACGGCGTCGATACAATTCCTCGATTACGGCACGAAGTCGGTTCATCTTCTCGCTAGGTTTAGGACCACTGGACTGTTTTGGACTTTCATGGCTGTACCCACGCTCATTGTGAGTAGGTAGAACAGAATCCTCATCCGAGCAAAAAAAAAAAAAAAAAAGAACAAACCAATCCATTCTCCCTGGACCCTCAAAACTCCGCACAAAAAATCTGCTGTTCTTTCCGCTGATTTTCCTTCCGGTGGTTTACACAGTTTTATGTTATCGGTATCTCCACTTTACTGAGAGTCATGTACAAACGTTTCCGGGCAGTCAAGGGGGAATCCGAACATGAGAGCACAGTCAGTTCGTTTGATTCATTCCCAAAACGCTTGATGGCCAATCGCAAACGAAATAAGTCGAGCAAGCTTCGGAACAGCTTCAGTAAGTATTCTTGTCTTTGCATCCTTCAATCTGGGAAACTCATCTTGCATCTACTTTATTCTTCCTGTTCTTATTTTTTTAGTTTATTTGGGGGTCCACTATACGATGATGTCACTCACCTTATTTTACCACATCATCATTGGCTTGATCTTTTACTTCTCAGACGATGTGGCAATGGTCAAGTCAGCCTTCTATTATTCTCCTTTCTACTTGGCTGCCGCTTTTGCATGAAATTAACTCTAACTGAATGGTGATTATTGTAGTAAGTCATGGCTAGAGCTTTTCATGGTGTTGAGTAACTCGGGATCGTATCTTTTACTATTGGCATTAATGGTTCAACTGGTAAGATTCTCTTCTTCACAATCCACGTCTATTTCAACACAGTGGTTTTTGTTTAACCTAGCGCTGAGACTGGCGCTGTTTTTTTTTGTCTGACTCCTTTCTCTGCTAATGTTGCTATCTGCGCACCCCCAATAGCTAAGAATTATCTCCGAGGGTAGGGAACAAGCGGGTATGGTCAGTAAGAAGAGTGGCAGGAATGCAGAATACAATGACTGTATCTCGGACTCCAGCAGAATACACCCGGATATCAAGCTAATGACATGATCAGTTTCGAGTTAAAGAAACCTCCCTCGCCTCAAAAAATTCAAAAAAAGACAATCTTATGTAGATCACATTCCATTCACAAATATAACATTCTCAAGCCCAGGAGGTGAGAAATCAAGAGAATTCTGTCAAGTAATCGTAATTTATCTGCTTGTATTACCCCTGCCAACGGAGTCATTAAATTCTAGTAAATGACACAGTTTGTTGTACTTACCCTTCGTCATCTGCATGCATGTCTGTAATACTAATAATATAAAAACTCCCCTTTGTTGATCTCCAAATATTTATGTTATGGGCTTGGTTGCTATTGTTTCTGTCAAATTCCTCATTTCTATTAACCTTTCCCTTTTAATGCTTTCAATTATTTTATGGATTAGTTTTGTTTGGTGTAACGCGAAGGTTTTTTTTTGGCGTACGAATACAATTGGGACCGCCTACCACTGGTCCTTGAAAGACGCTAAAAAGTGTCGTTTGTTCGTCCTGATGGATTAAAAATCGGGAGAGAAAAGCCAAAGAAAAATTCAGAGAGAAGACTCTTAGTTCCAGACCAGACTTCTGGAGACATTAATTGCATAAGATAATACTAACCTTCCAGTCTATCACCATGCCGCTTTCGATGATTTTTGGGAGAGCCTCCATGTTACGTGTTCCGCTGCACACAAATCCCGACACAGGCCATCTGGACACACGCATCATCAAGGGGGCGGTCGAGGCCGCTGCTGCTTGTACCAACTTGACCCGCCTGGATGCCAGTGGCTCTGATGATGATACCTAATCTGTGACCTCACCAACCGGGTCAGTACATTTTTTGCGCTTGAAAGGAGCATTGGTATCGCCATAATTATGAAGATGAAAGTCGAATAACCAACGAGACAGGAACTAAGACATCAACATGATTTTGTGAATTTGCCTCACCTCAGAAAGTATTTGGATATTTGTTGGAATTTTCCTTACTCATTTGCTCAAAACGTTACTAATTCATGTTCTCGTCAAATCCTTTGGGGAAAACCGAGTCGAGGATAGCAAATTACCTCCTGAAATCTACCAGCAGAAGACTTCCTCCTCCAGGGATCAGGGCTCTTGAGGGTGAGCCGCAGACACTGACCTAAGGTTAAATTTTGTGTAATGACGTAGCCCCATTCAGTAAAAAAATAAAATATGTCCCTTCGTCGGTGTTTCACAACCAGAAATAGTGGAGCCACGTGGGGTGTCATTGTTTACTAATGTGAATTGATCCTTTACCACGAAGGGTTGGATCTCGTCGCATCGAGAGAGTAGCCCATCTGGGTGTTGTTGAAGGGTACAAAAAGGTCTTGCCACCTTTTTTCATCTCCATGGATCTCAGAATTTTCTTTAGAAACATGCCAATCCCAAGCAACACTTGTCTCTTTGGGCTTTGCGGATTTTTTCTGACCTGCAATGGAATGCAAGACTTCTCGCTAGATCTACCTGGCCATCTAGCCATTCAAAAAGTGCATAACCAACACTCGGATCATGAAGTGAACTCAAAGCTCACGTTCGGCCCCTCAAATCTGGGCCTGCCAATGGGACATGCTGAAGTGCACAAAAGTATGCATCACATTCCATCAGCTGGTCAGAATTATCATATCAAGACGATCACCAGAATTGAAGAGCTCCGAGATGCTGGCAAGGAGCTTCGACTTGCTCCATCAAATCAGCATCTGAATCAAAAAACAAATGCCCCTCCAGCCTTTAAACCTTGGCATTCGTTGGAATGCACTCAAGAAATCAACCGTTTTACTCCTGGCTCTTCAACATTGCCATGGGTTTGGAAGAATACAAGGCAAGAGTCTAATGCTCATCACACACCTGAAATCTCATTGATAAAAACCACCCAAAAGAATGCCCTCCTCAAAGATTTCACTCCCCAAACCCACAATCCAGGCCCGACAATAGATTTGCTCACTACATTTGGTGATTCTTCACCTTCAAAAAATGCTGTAATCAAGAGTCATTGTGAGAATCATGAAATTTGTTCACGTCAAGGTCGCAAAGGCTACGCTAGGTTCAAGAGGACCCAGATGAAAACTAATAACTATGAAATTTCAAGTCCTATGTCCAATACACATGTAGTAGATGGGGAACCTTCTGATTATCACAACCTACACCAGGGATCAATTGTCAAGAAGGCCAGACTGAATGAGCCTGTTTTGAAATCTCCCAAAGAAATTCAAGACCAGAATGAACCCTTGTTTGGTCATTCAAGCTTACATGGAAGACCCATTCAAAGCTCAAAGTATTACAAAGTATCCAACATGAAAGATATTGATTGTTTGAAGAAAATCCTGGGCTCCAAAAGCAGAATGAACAAAACAAAAATCCAAGGAAGAAAAGAGGATCATTGTGGAGTTCCTCCAAAATCCTCTGCTGATAAACAGAACACAGATTCACTCATGGACCTTGAACCAATGATGGAAAGTATATACTTTGATGATGAAATCCTTGAGGTTGAACACTCATTACCTGAGGTCCAAAGGGAAATGAAGAAAATATTTGAATCAATAAAAACAGATTCCAAAGGGACTATTAAGTTGGACACTGAAATTGGCCCTGCTATTTTTTCTCAAACTTGGGGCCTTTACAGAACTGTATGCCAAGGAAAAAAGAATGGGTTGGAAATGGCTTTCAAAGATGCATCTCAGAGTGTGATTAATCAAAGTAATAAAAAGCTATGGAGTCATCAAGATGCGTGGTTTGTGTTTTGGGAAAGTGTTAGTGGAATCAAGATTGTTGAGGAAATGGAAAGCAAAATTGAGATATCAAATAATGTGAAGAGATTATTACAGCTTTGTATATTTTACATTGATATGATGGATACAATAATCATCCACCCCCAACCAACTAGTTCAGTTAAAGAACACAAGAACAAACTGTTCAGAAGGGCCCTAAATTGTTTTGAAAAATTCACAACAATCTCACCCGAGTATATAAGATTCTACAAGTTTTCTGCAGATAAATCTTACAATTTGATTCCTTGTTTAGTTTGGCGTTTCCTGGATTTCTGGATCAAGAATGATGGGAGCACTGATCTGAAAACACTTGCATTCAGAGGTAAAGAGAAACTGTATGGTGGCTTCAAGTCCTTTTTCAACAACGTGCTCAAGTTCTCCTGTAAAAACTTGAGCCTGAGAATAAAACAGGCTACCATTCATCATTTGTGATCATTATCTTTAGACTTCATATCTCCTTATTGAATCTCCTTGAGATAAGTCAATAGTCCAATACATACATATATCACTTCAAGAAATAACATTTTGTATCAAGTGGCACCACACTGGAGGATTGTTTTTCTTTCAGCATATGATTTTATCTGTCCATCCAAACAGATCAATCTCTGGTATCACAGGACTTCCAGAATTGTTCAAGGCAAAAAAAGCACTGGATAAAAGGATGTCCCTGAATATGCAATTTAGACATGGAGACTTGAGCCTGAGGGCTGTGTAGACCAATCCTTAGTTTTTCTTTGTTGAAGGCTTTACATTCCAAATTGGTTGTCTGGAGTGCTTGAAGTGTCATGTAGATTTTGTAGTGTTCTGGAATCTCAATGCCAATTGTTAGTGGGGGGGATTCAGCCCTGGTTAAAATGAGTAGCTGTGTTTTGGTGCTACCAAACCATTAGCCATTAGCCATTATGAGCATGGTGCTTGAATTCATACCCAATTTGTTGGCTATTTTCAAACCAAGTAAATCTAGTGATTTTTTCATCCTTTTTTTTGATTATGTACATAGTTTCAAAATCCCAAGAAGATCAAAGCAATTTTATACGGGGTATGTGAATTTTACAAGTAAGCTTTTACAGTGGGAAAGCCTTGTAATTTTAATACCTTGCAATAGTGGCAATAGTGGTGGGAATTACAGACGGGATGAATTTTACAAGGGCTCTTGAACAAGGCTGCCAATGTAATTAGGAGCCTTGCAAATAAACCCTTGGAAAATGACTGCCCCCAAACCTGGTCAAAGAAACTTACTCAGCTGTATTTTTACACCTGGTAACCCATCACCGCAAATGAATGGGTCATCCTGTATTTACTGAAAAATACAGGGTACAAAACTTTCAAGGCTTAACCCATTGCAAAAAATGGTTAGGGTGATTACATGTAGCAGGCATGAACAAGAATTTTTCTAGGCTTTCAGGACATTTTGCACCTGATTGGCCATCTCCATCTCCCTCATCCTTCCCACCTCGGCGCACACAGACTGTCCATCAATCATGAGCTTCCTTCATTCCTCCAATGAGGACAATACCAGTGTGGATTACTCCTCTGAATCCTCTTATTCCAAAGATATTGAAACCCCAGTGATCTCGAACTCCACCAGGTTATCTCGTGGGAAGCCAACGGCAACTGCTGAGACAACGGTGACGATTCCGTCAGAACATAATAACAAGTTGTTCTTTTTGCCGACAATGAATGAAGAGACCTTCATCGATCACGGTTGCACTTTGGACCCGGAAGGCTATCCTCTACTCCCATAGAATCTCCCGAATGGCAACACTATCTTCGTCAAACCAAGTGGGATCAAGGTCACAAACTTTGGAAATGTTGGCTTTATCAAACGTACCGGCTCTGAATACCGGTCTAAGGGAACTTGGAAGCTCACTCGCATTTACTGTCTTGGCTTGCTTGCGTGTGACTTACCTCAATGTAGGTGGGCAGGCGCACCACCAACTGGTCGTGTTGTCATGTCGGAGTATCTCCAAAGGTGTTTCCTCACCAATTGGCTTATGTACATCTATTATTGTTGGCTCATCGGCTTGGTTCAGGTACCCTCATTGCCGAGGCTCTGAGCCTCTGCCGGAAAATGTCCTGGCAATATCCGACACCACATGTGTAAGAACACCCTGATCCGAGTGGACAAGCATGTTCCAACCGGATGGGAAATCTTGAGGCACAAAGGCCAGCATGAACATCCCTGGCCAGAGGTCAAAAAACCAGACAAACTGGCCTAGGAGGCCCTCAAGAACGAAATCTTGAAGACCCCCAAGGCGGGGGCGCTATTGCTTAAGGTGTGTGCCCACTTGCGTCAATTTCAACTGTGTCACCACAGTAATAACTGATGTAGTGGACTACAGCTGGGCAAACCAATTGCGACTCGAGATCCGTACGATAGCGTCATGTCAATACACCCTGCTTTGCGTGATGCCGACCGCCTCAGATACTACCAGAAACTGATGCTGCAAGAGATGAACATAACACCGGAGAAACTGGGGGCAGGCGTTGGTGATAAGTTCATCAATGACATGTTCATGTGGAACAAGTTAAGTGATGTGATTACCTCCGACTTGATGATAATAGCTGGGCAAACCAATTGCGACTCGAGATCCGTACGATAGCGTCATGTCAATACACCCTGCTTTGCGTGATGCCGACCACCTCAGATACTACCAGAAACTGATGCTGCAAGAGATGAACATAACACCGGAGAAATTGGGGGCAGGCGTTGGTGATAAGTTCATCAATGACATGTTCATGTGGAACAAGTTAAGTGATGTGATTACCTCCGACTTGATGATAATCTTGGTTGACTGACAAAAGAAGTGTAGCCCTTAGGCGCGGCCTCCAGATCACCTCAGCATCATTGCTTGATGGTTCCAAGCATTTCACATTCCAAACGGAATGGATGGCCAAACGGTTGTTGGCTTGCGATTTGGAAAACCGTGTGTACAGTGGGGGCTTGGTCTCCGACATCACTTATTGGTTTTTTGAGAATGGATACCTGTTGTCCACCTCAATGTATGTAGAAGAAATCACCCAATGGGTGCCTGTGCAACTAACTTGGATTCGAGGCCTCTTGGCTGGCTACTACCAAATTCATCTTGCAATGTTGTTCCGTCAGTTTTTGAAGCCAGAGATCACGGAGGTTGAGCGCAACATCCTTGTTTGGAATATTGTTGACTTTTCCCTTGCGCAAAGGGAAGGTTTTATCAAAGCCTATGGCAAGGTGTTTGGTATCTTTGACCGGGCACAGGTGCTTGGGAAGCTTCAGGGATGTCGCCAGCATTACCGTGCGCAGGTGACTCGTGTTAGGGTCAACAGAAATGTGATAATGGCTGGTGACAAGGTGAGATTGAGATTCACTTGTTTCTGTTGATCTACATGGTCTTAGTACTCATCAAATCCTTCAAATCTTAGGTGATCTTCCAGCAGATGTGCATGGACTTGATCAAGGAACCCCAGGCCGGTGTGATGGTGAGAGCGCGCGTGGGCCAAAGCTTTGGCCGGTTTGTTTGGGGGCATGTGGAATGCTCGTGGCGCTGATGCGGAAAGCACGCGGAGCTGACGCTACACAAGCAGGCTGAGGAAAGCGGCGGTGCATTAGCGGAAAGTCTAGCTTTCTGAGGCGCGGGAAAGCGGGGAAAAGTAGACCGAATGCACAAGGTTCCGAAAAGCTTACTGCGGGGAATCCGGGCGCCGGCGGACGCCGGGGATCACGGCCGACTGCGGAACGGGGGTTCAGCGTATACTGCGGAGGGGCTACAAGGAGCGGGGAGCACCGAGGGGCGGAAGCGGGGTTCGGAGCGGACCAGAGGCGGAAGCGGCGGTGGGAGACCTGCTTGGGAGCGGCCGGAGGAGTACCTGGACTGACAGGCGTCGGAGGGGTGACATGCGGAGTCCGAGGGGGTGACAGCGGATGACATCGCGGGAAGCAGGAAGGGACTGGAGTGTGGGATACTTAGGAGGAGTGGAGTTCGAGGCAGAAGGGGGGGGAGTGAGGGGAACTTATGACTCAGAACATATCAGAAAACAGAGTGACTTAGGAGTGAATCGTGTATTAGCCTAAAGAATTGTTAGAGATAGATTAGAGTTAGAGTATTACCTACCAAAGAACAACAAAAGAGAGCTATTTTTACCTACCTACAAGACCATCAAGCAAGTTACCCCGGACAACAAATCGGAGTAAGACGTGTTGCGGAGCGGAGAAGTACGAGAAATCTCCTAGGGCGTGCCTTACTTTCCACAAATTGGGGGTCTGGCCGGGAAACAACTTCCTTGGTCAAACGGTACGAAGAATAGTGGATGAGCTTTCCGGGACAGTTTTTCACACCGGCGTACCACAACATCGAAAACGAGCGAGCGTGGAACGATTCTTCTGATTCCTCCGATAGCGACGGAAGCGGGAGTACGGTTCGGGAAAATCAACCGAGTGCGGAGGATAAGGGAAAACAACGGGCCGAAACTTTGGACGACCTGATTGCCAAGGGACGTAACTTGGTCGAACAAGTCCGGAAGAACGGAGTCGTTGGAACAGAAGTGGCGGAAAAGGTTAAGCTTTTCGAAGGGCAGGCTTCGGGGTCGAGCAAAAAGGTCGGAACTTACGGAGTACCAAGCGAAGGTTCCGAGGAAAGGATGAACGTGGATGACCCAACGCCGCCGCGGTCCCTGGGTCCGCTGAAGGCGAAGATACGTCCGAGGGACTATCCAAACATTCGGTTCAGTACTACCGAAGTGTCGAGGTTCCTGGAGCGTTTCGAGGCTGCAGCGGACGGGGAGGGAGCGGAGGATTCGGATAAGGTTCGGCAGGTGGTCAACTTTATCCAGGATGAAGAGGCATTGCGGGATGTGGAAGATATGGATGGGTACGAGAAGAAGGATTGGGTGGAGTTGAAGAAGGAGATGCTGGAGAAGTGGGGCCAAAGGGAGCAAAGGTACCGGGAGGCGGATCTGGATAGGCTCGCGGCGGAGATGGCGGAGAAAGGTGGTGTTCAGACAAGGGAGCAGTACGGGAAGTACGTCTCTTCGTTTGATCAGATTCTGAAGTATCTGAATCAGAACGGGATCGTCACCGATACTCCGGGAGGGGTGAAGCGGACCTTCATCAAAGCCTTTCCGAAGGAGATGCGGGAGCGGGCACTCCGCCAGCTCTACGATCGGAACTTGGTGAAGAGATCTAAGGATGGGGGTGTGATCGTGCTGCCCGATATGAAGGAGATCCGTAAGGCACTTCAGGGCAAGATGGACATGCAGGAGTTGGTGGAGGATGGGATAGAAGCAGGTGGCTCGGGATCGGCTAAGAGCAAGGAGCCGGTGTCTGCGAAGGAGGTTGGTGAACTGGCGGATACGCTCAAGGAGCTACGCCTGTTCATGCAGAAGACGGTGACTCAGTCCTGGAAACTGCCAGCGGGACGTGCGGGGGCTGAAGCTACCTCTGTAGTGCCGGAGGCGGCAACCAAGGGGCAGGGATTTGCGCCAAGGGGGCCGCCCGCTTGCAGTTATTGCGGTTCGACAGCGCACTTCAAGTCTCAATGTCCAGACCTCACTACGGACATCAAGACTTTAGGGGTTCGTCCAACGATGAGGGACTACTATCTGGATGGTGAGAGGATAGAGGCGGCGATTCCGCGGGATGAGGTGCGTAAGAGGAGAAGTGCGGACTCCCCGGAAATAGCTAAGGGGAAGGAAGCAGAGGTGAAGTCCCACATTGGGATAGTGGAGTGGGGAAGAGCGTGGACTCCTCCGGCAGTCGCTGCGGAAGTAAGAGCGGTGGCGGCGGAGGAGCGGGTTTGTTTTGGGGAGCGGTATGATCGGATGGAGCTGGATCCGAATCCAAAAGCGGAGCCGGTGCCGAAGAAACCAAAAGCGAGGGAGCCGGCAACTCAACAGTCTGCCGAGAAGAAGAGAGCGGGCGAGTTGGCCCGAAAAGCGTTAGGGAACGAAACGGCCCTCTCTCTCACCCTCAAAGACCTGGCGACGATCTCTCCGTTGATGGTGGAGCAGCTGATAGGGAGTATCCGGGAAGCTGCGGGCCCTTCGTTCAGGGAAACCGCGGAGAAAGTAAGCGCCCCCGTCGAGACGGTACTAGCTGAGGTGCGTAGTGCGGAGTACGGCGAGAATGATAAGCCGGTACACAGGGCGCTGGTGTCTTGCCCATTGGGGTACGTCGAGATGGAGATCAAAGGCCAGAAGGTGTGGGCGATGATTGATAGAGGCTCCATGATTAACATCATGCCCGCGGAGTTGGCTCGAGCAACAAATCTTGCGCGGCGTAAAACGAGTATGTCGATCCGTACTATGGGGGAATTCAGGTGCGAGGTAGAAGGGGTGGTGGAGGCGGAGCCGGTGCTCGTGGCCAAAGTGGAAGAACGGATCTCGTTCTTGGTCACGAGGTCGAACGAGATTATACTCGGCCGCCCTTTTCTGTTTGCTTTTAGAACGGACCTGCGGTTCTGCCCCAGGCGGAGGGAGGAGATAATGGCGGTGCGAGACTCTGGGGGCAGGCAGTTCGAGACTACTATCTGCCAACCGCAGAGAGGGGAATGGCTAAACCGCGTGGTGGACGAGGAGCGGCATGGTGAGAGGTGCCATGAGCCGCCACCGGAGGATTTTTAGATGTTGGCCGAGTCATCCGTACGGGGAGAGCTTCGACTCCGTACGGATGGTCGACAACTAAGAAGCAAGAGGGTATAGGTGTGGAGATGGGGCGAGGCGATGAAGGAGCAAAAGTAAGTCTTCCTTCGTATGCATCTCCGGGGAATGAGTCAAAACACTACTTCAATGCCACTGTCGTGAGCAACGCGTGTGCAATAGGAGTAGCGGACGAGCGGGGGAGAGGAACCAGCGGGGTTGGCGGAGAAGAGGAGCGGAGTCGGAGTAGAGGGGCGGAGGCCAAGAGGGTGCAAGTAAGTCCTCCATCGTGTGCATCTCCGATTGGTACTACTGTAAAACACTATCATAGTGCCACATTCGTGAGCAAAGGGGAAGGTCGTGGACTGTTGTTAGCTCGACGGGAATTCTCGACTCACTAGGGTGAACGGAGGGAAGTACAAACCGGTGGCGAAGAAGGTTCGGCCGCAGAATGAACCAATGCCGCAGGACCTTAATCCTCCGTTGCGGCCTATTGAGTGGGATCGGGATCCTTTTTCAACGCCGCTGTCGAGAGTTCCACCAAGGTTCACTCCCTCTAAGAAGATCGCTACAGAGCGGATAGAGGGTTTGAACTTTGGGCCGGAAGGGTGGCTGAGCGAAGAGGAGTTCCATCTGTTAGCGGATGTGGTGAAGCTGCGGGAGAAGGTACTGGCATTCGGACCGGAAGAGCAGGGCTTGTTGAAGCGGGAGATCGGTCAACCGTACAAAATTCCGGCAATACCGCACGAGCCCTGGCAGATCCGGCCAATTCCAATTCCGGCGGCGATTCGAGGGGCCTTCATGGAGTTGATAAAGGAGCGAGTGCGGACCGGGTTGTACGAGCAGACCAATTCAAGTTACTCTAGTCCGATCTTCACGGTACTGAAGCAAGACAAGACAAGCTTGAGGATTGTGCACGACTTGCAGCGGTTGAACTCGGTGACTATCAGAGATGCGGGGCTGCCGCCGAGAATTGAGGAGTTCGTGGATACCATGGCGGGGCGGACCTGTTACGGTTTGGTGGACGTCATGGGGGGCTACGACCAGCGGGAGCTCCATCCCTCTTCGAGACCGATGACCACGTTCGACGCTAGCCTATTGGGAGGGATGCAGCTAACCCGCCTTCCGCAGGGAGCGACCAACTCGGTAGCAGTTTATCAGGCACAGATGGCTTGGATGCTGCGAGACGATTTGCCGGAGGTAGTGCAGATCTTCATTGACGACGCAGGGATCAAGGGCCCGAAAGTCGATTACGGCGGAGAAGTCCTACCCGAGAATCCCGGAATACGGCGCTTCATCTGGGAGTACGCCGTGGCACTGGAGCGAGTCCTGTATCGGATTGAGTTTGCGGGCTTGGCGGTGTCAGGGAAGAAGTTTGCGGTGTGTGTACCGGCTCTGGATTTTTTGGGCCATGAGGTGTCTTGTCGAGGGAGGTCGATTGCAGCCTCTAAGAAGAACAAGGTCTTGGAGTGGCCGACCCCTCAGACACCATCGCATATCCTTCAGTTTCTCGGTTTGTGCAGTTTTGTGCGAATGTTTATTGAACATTTCGCGATAGTAGCCAGTCCGCTGCGAAGGCTTACACGGAAGGGTGCGGAGTGGTCCTGGACGGAGGCTTGTGAAGCTGCGTTTACGGAGTTGAAGCGGATCGTGGGGCTGGATATCACCTTGAAAGACCTCGATTATAGTAGAGGGGGTATTCGGTTGGCGGTCGACTCTAGCGAGTTTGGTGCCGGTGGCGTGCTATCTCAAGAGGAAGAAGGGAAGGATCGTCCGGTGCTGTATGAGTCCGTTACCTTCACTGAGGTCGAGTCGCGTTACTCTCAACCCAAACTGGAGTTGTGCGGAGTGACCAAGGTGGTGCGGAGGTTGCAACATCTCCTCTGGGGTGTTTTCTTCGAGTTGTTGGTTGACGCGGAGGCATTGGCGAGGATGATCAATACGCCATCTCTTCCAAACGCTCCGATGACCAGGTGGGTGGCGTACCTTCAACTCTTCTCCTTTCAGGTGGTTCACGTTCCGGGTAAGGCCTTCACCATGCCGGATGCCTTGAGCCAAATCCCGTTGATGGAAGGGGAGGACCGGTTTGCGGAGGCAGAGGAGCTAGACGTGGAGAGGCGGCTGATCGAAGTACGGACGGCAGGAGTGGACAGCGAAGGTCTTCCCCTTGCTCAGTCAGGACGGTATTTGGTTATGGTGTATTTCTTGACGCACTTGGTGTACCCGGAAGGTACAGCGGATCTGGTGAAGCGATGGGTACGGCGGAAGAGCGCCAATTTCTTCTTGCAGGGTGGTCAGCTTTGGCGGCGGAGTTTGCCCATACCACTCGTGGTGGTCACTGCGCGGGCCGACCAGGAGAAGATTTTGAGGAGTCTTCACGAGGATTTGGGCCACAGGGGAGAAGCGGAGACCAGAAAACGAGTGCGGACTCGGTTCTGGTGGCCAGGCTTGGGCCGAGCGGTCAAGGACTGGGTGCGGAGTTGCGAGGAGTGTCAGCGGCGGAGCACCTATCTGCAAAAGGAGATCGGCATTCTGACTGGGGAGGATACGCTGTTCAGTCGTGTGTCGGTGGACGTCTGTCACATCAAGGCGGGGAAGTTCAAGTACTTGCTTGTGGCTAGGGACGACTTGTCCGGATGGGCAGAAGCGCACCCTCTGGTGAAGTTGACTTCGGAGAAGGTGTGCCAGTTTTTCGAGGAGGACTGGTTCTCGAGATACGGTTCTATTCGTTTGGTCACAGTAGACTGCGGCGCGGAGTTCAAAGGGCGGCTGAAGGAGCTCGTAGAGTCCTGCGGAGCGAAGTTCGGGCGAGTGACGGAGTATTACCCGGAGGGAGCAGGGGTCATTGAGCGAGGTCATCAGCCTTTGAAGAACGCGTTGGCCAAACTTTGCGGTGAAGATGGGCGGAAGTGGCAACAGTTCTTACCGACGGTCCTGTTCGCGGATCGCATCTCGACTAAGAGGGGTACGGGCTGCTCTCCGTACGAGCTGTTGTTTGGTTCCCGACCGGTGCTACCGGTGCACATCGAACTGCTGACGTTCCTTGGGATCGACTGGTGGAAGGTGAAGTTGGCGGAGGATCTCATGGAGGCGCGTGCTGAGCAGCTGTTGCGGAGGGAGTCCCTCGTCGCTAAGGCGGCCAAGCGTTTGAAGGAGAGTAGGGCAAAGTCTGTCCGCTACTGGGACCGGAGGTGCGCGAGTAGGCTCAGGGACTCGTTGCGGAAGGGTGATCTCGTTTTGCTCTACAACCGGAGTTTGGAGTCTCAGTGGGGCAAGTTGTTTTCCAACCGTTGGAACGGTCCGTACAGGGTGGTCAGCCAGTTCCCCGGCGGTAGCTATCAGTTGGAAGAATTGGACGGCACTTGGCTGAAACGACGGGCGGCCGCGGCCCACGTCAAGCGGTTCTACGCTAGGGGTTCCACGTCCTTCGATGAGACGGCGGACACGGACGACGAAGAGGAGGTGGTGAAGATGCCGAAGCAGAAGGGCACTTCAGGCGACAAGTCCGACACGGCGGGAGAGGAGGATGATGATGCCTCGGCGGCGGACTCGGAGTCTGGTAGTGGTTCCGAAGCGGAGGAGGATGAGGAGGCCTCGGAGCGGCCGACGCCAGCGGCTCCGCAACCACGGCGGAGTAAGAGGCTGAAGGGGACCACTGGGGACAGCGGTCAAGGTCTGGGGCGGAGAGGAGGAGTTAGCGGTAAACGCTAAGCATTTATTGGTGAGGGGGTGCGCTAGCTGGTCTACAGCCGGGTAAACTAGCCACCCCAGGATGTCAGTTACCCTATAGAGATTGCTTTCAGTTTTTGTTATCACTTTTCACTGGCTTGTTTTGTGTATTTGTTTGCAGGAGAGGTACGGGGATTTTGTGAGGAAATCCTTCTGGGGCGGACCAGGTACCTTGTGGATTGGCGTGATTTTCTGGTTTTAAACGGTCTGGTTTCAAATAAAAGGATAAAAAGAATAAAAAGAATAAAAGGATAAAAAAAAAAAAAAGAAAAAAAGAAAAAGAATAAGTGAGGGGACTTGAGTGGTTCTCTCTCTGGGGCGGACCAGGCACTTAGGCAAGTTTTTGTGTGACTCTTCGGACACGTAAACTCAAATGTAGCAGGATTTATTTCAGAAGGAATTTAGACTATATACAAGAGGGTAACGGAGGAAGAAGAGGAAAGAGCACTAGGACGAGCCGGAGTTGAGAGCAGGACCGTCACCATTTCCATCAGGGTAGGCGGCGAGGCTAGGGTTGAACACGGCCATTACCTGGAGTCGGTGGCGGCGGAGTTCGCGGATTTTGGAGAGGAAAGCCGCGTAGGTGGAGCGGCGGAGGGACGGAGGGAGCACTGAAGCGCTGAGGATCGTCTCGAACCGGCCCTGGATATCCACAAGGGCGGCTTCGACCGCATCGGCAGGAATAGCGTCGAATACGCCGTCGTCCTCGTTGGGAAACAACTCCCGAAGGGCGGGGTCGTTTGGATCGGTCGGGTACCTAGGGTTAGGGACTGAGAAGGGAGGTGTTAGCGGGGTCAGGAGAGAGAGTCAGCCGATTGCACACTCACGGTGAAAGTACCGAGAGGCGGGAAAGGGGTTGGCGCGAGTAGGCGCGGCCGGAGAAGCGTTGGCTGCAGGGCAAGGAGTGATTGCGCCGGAACGGATTACTTCCGGAACCTCAGAAGGTCCCCGTTCGGCGGGTCGAGGAGTGCGCAAGACGTTGAGGAGTGGTGTGGTTGGGAGCAGCACCGACAGAAGGAGGCAGAGTAGGGTGGAGGTCTTCCGGCTCGGGGTCGACGCGCATTGGACTGACGGGCGGGGAGCGAGTAACCGGAGATCGACTCATTGGAGACGGCGGACCCGAAGATATCACGATCGGTTCGATATCGATGGTGGTATTGGCCGGAACCGGGGAAAGCACGCGCTCAGGAGTGGGTCGACGGGGCACTACCGACTCATTGGAGACGGCGGACCCGAAGATATCACGATCGGTTCGATATCGATGGTGGTATTGGCCGGAACCGGGGAACGGACCGGTGATGGGGAAAGCACGCGCTCAGGAGTGGGTCAACGGGGCACTGGAACGGGGGTTCAGCGTATACTGCGGAGGGGCTACAAGGAGCAGGGAGCACCGAGGGGCGGAAGCGGGGTTCGGAGCGGACCAGAGGCGGAAGCGGCGGTGGGAGACCTGCTTGGGAGCGGCCGGAGGAGTACCTGGACTGACAGGCGTCGGAGGAGTACCTGGACTGACAGGCGTCGGAGGGGTGACATGCGGAGTCCGAGGGGGTGACAGCGGATGACATCGCGGGAAGCAGGAAGGGACTGGAGTGTGGGATACTTAGGAGGAGTGGAGTTCGAGGCAGAAGGGGGGGGGGAGTGAGGGGAACTTATGACTCAGAACATATCAGAAAACAGAGTGACTTAGGAGTGAATTGTGTATTAGCCTAAAGAATTGTTAGAGATAGGTTAGAGTTAGAGTATTACCTACCAAAGAACAACAAAAGAGAGCTATTTTTACCTACCTACAAGACCATCAATCAAGTTACCCCGGACAACAAATCGGAGTAAGACGTGTTGCGGAGCGGAGAAGTACGAGAAATCTCCTAGGGCGCGCCTTACTTTCCACACCGGTGATCCGACCCATGAGGACAAGATTGATGCCCTCCAACGCAAATTCCCTAAGGCCAAACGGTGGATTGACTGGTGGACCATGGCAGATGTGGAGTCAATGCTTTTTCCATCTTGTCACCCTCAGGATGAAGGTGCCCCCAAAGGGGTCAGTCCTCTTCCAAAAACTTCGAATGCACAGGAGAGTTTGCACCAACTGTACTACATGATTAGGTGTGTACTGAACTCCATTCGACTCTCATGGATGAGGCTTATACCTTCCTTTATGTGTACATAGTCTGGGGAAAACCAGCCTCCTTGTTGGCATGGTGCAGCTTTTCTCCTTTGTTAAGGTCTTGGAGGAAGACTTTGATGCTGTAATGTGTGGGGTGTCAATCAAATACGGCTCCCAACGCAAAGGAGAGACTGATGTGGCTCAATCCATTGGATGGGAGAAGTCTTGCAAGCGGGCTCCAAAGACGGTCCCGCTGGGACTTGGAAAGAAGATCCGACATGAATACGCCAACGATGGGCGAGCACCCAATACGACAAAGGCCCTCCTCCCCGAGATCATCAAGAAGAAGCTTGGACAACCTTCTGGAGCGCCAAACATCAACAGCTATCCCTCATATCATGCATCTAAGAAGGAGCATCTCAAGAATCGATGCTGGATGGCTGCCTCAGTCAAAAGCCTGTATTTGGTATTCTCTCCCGTTTGGCTTCAAGGATCCGGTGGCTGTGGGACATCACTGTTCACAACGCTGGTGAAACATTTCATGGCCAGGGCTACATACGAGTTAACGGAGGCTGGATCAATTCGCTCGATTCTCTCAAAGGCTCAATGCACTCTCTTCCATCTTGTCAGTGTGCAGCATCCCGGAAACTTTGTCACTAGAAAGTTTGCCTCGGCGGACTTCTTCATGGATGTCATACTCGATCAAAATGCAAACCCCAACCGGGCCTTGAAGGGGTTGTTTGAAGTTGAAGAGGTCCGACAACTCACCTGCAAGCATCACACCCAAGACACTCATGAAATACAACACCCATTGCATGTCATCAACATCCGCAGGAGGGCATTTGAATCTAACAATCTCGAAGTCTCGGATGTTGCTTCATTATTGAGGCAGTGGACTGGATCGGGCTTGGACGGGTGGTTGGGCCTTTGTTGTAAACTGTGTAACAGCTCTCATCCGGCTTCTGAGATCCCAACGTATGGCTGTGCATTGTCAGTTGTTGAAGTGGCCATAGCGACTCTGGTGTCAACTTGTAAGACTCCCATGCTGCAGGAGAGGTCATGTCTGGCTTTTATCAATAACCAGCCACCTTCACACCTCTACTTTCATCTGGATGTCACACCAATCCTGGACAAAGATGAACAACAATCCTTCTTGGCGGAGACCTATTGGCCTTTCACTCTCAAAATCCAACATGTCAGGTACAATTTATTTGCCCACGGGTTTTGGGACAGGTTGCACTATTGGTGTAAGGTGGTCAGGCATGTTTGTGGGAGAACAGGTGTTTGGTTACACAATGACCGATTGAACGACGGCTACGCTCAGCTGGTCAGCCCAATTCCGAGTGATCTGGGGGGAAAGGCAGCTCATACAAGCTGGCTGATCTACTCTCGCCCGTGGAATGATAGCGAGTTAGAGTTTGTCAACAATAAGATCACACAGATCAAGAAGGACAATCCCCGAGCGACTGGGCAGGTGCCATTTGCAAAGCTCAAGGAGTTATTGGAGGTATCCAAGGATCTTGACCTGCGTACGGTCAAACCAGACACTGACAATCTGGTGGGGGATGAATTCTACGACAACAACAAGGCCAGAGACAACAAGGCAGACGACAACGGGGCCAACAACAACGAGGTTCCCAATTGTAATGAGACTACAGGTAAGTTTTCTCAACCATCTAATGTGTAAATTTGGCTGGATCATAACATCTTTGAACGGGAAACTACCTGAGAACAGATGATGAGGACGTCAAAGCCAACCGAATCCAGCCAGCGCCTTCAGTTGCGATGCCGGCTCCAAAAATCCCAAAAATTAAGCTTACCCTGGGCAAATCAGGGGGGATTGAGGTGCCTGTCCCACTGGAGGCTGTCAAAGAGGTCAAGGCCAAGATCAAAAAGCCTAAGGGGTCCAATAAGGCGGCGCCGCAGGGGGGAAATCGTTGGAGCAAAAGGGTTGAAGCTAAGGGAGGGGACTTGTCATGATTTATCTGCGTTTGTATGCATCCTGTGATGCATTTTGTCACAATTTCTCTGCTTTTGTATGCATCCTGTGATGCCTTGTTAGGGGGCAAGATGCAGAGTAAAATTAGAATTGCACCGGCCACAGTGGTGATTTTACTACTCTTGGTGGTTCCCTGCGCTGCATTGTAAGATGGAGCCTCGTGAAATTTCCCAAGAAGTGAGTACATGTCATTTTTGCATGGATTTTTCTTTACACCACATAAGCCTTGTGGAAAATGGCTGGCAAGATTCTGAAAAGTAAGGATGGGACAGCTGTTTTACTTGGGTTTGATTACAAGGGCTTAGATTACAAGGCACAATGCGTAAGATATCCCCTGTAAATTTGTGGCCCCAGGGGGGCAAATGGGTTTTTACAAGGGTAATCGGTTGAGAGGCTTAAGCCTTGCAAAATTAGACATGTAAAAATCCATGTCCCCATTTTATACTCACACATAATCATATCCTAGACTGACTTGTGGCACCAGCTTTTCAAGCTATGAGCTCAGCATTACAGTGCCCAATAGAGAAGGACTACAAAACAACCACTAAGCAGTCAGCACTCGACTCAAGTCTGATTGAAGCAGGTATTTGCAGGATCACTTTACGTGATTCACGTCTGTGCAACTTCATCCTTCTTTTCACTCAACAAAAAAAACTCATTCAAGTTGACAATAGTTCTCCAGATGAATTACCTCCAAATCCACTCAAAGAACGCATCGATGATGATCATATTTAGGAACCTTTTGATGATGCACTTTTATATATGGCGATGAATTCCTTAGAACAGATTCGAAAAAAAAAAAAAACACTTTCTGGGAATGTATTTATCCAAACTTGAGATTCCCAAAAGAGGACTCCCCAAGTCATCTGGTTAACTTGGGCTCATGTTTTATGGGAGATGGGTATACATGATGCCGACCAATGCAAGATACGTATCCATAGATACACACACACGCAGAGGGAGGTGGTTCGCAGCGCATGTTTTTCACTCTATTCCGGACGACAAACAGAGAGTCGAGAGCAGCGTTTCTGCGCGAGACACAAGCGCCATCTCCTCGGCCGCCGCCTCTGACCCACCATTATTAATTGTTTTCTTCTGGCCATCAGCACCAGCATCAGAAGATGGAGACGAAGATAGAGAGAGGAGAAGGTCTTTGATCAACGAAGCCCTGCGAGTAATTTCCAAAAAAAAAGAAACGGTTCTGATTAGGACGAGAGGACCCAGGATCCAGTTTATTTGTTATACCAAAAGAAAGAGAGAGATTGGAAGTGTACATACGTATGAGTGTGTTTCTTACGACCGACGGACTCCTCCAAGAGCCGAGATTTGAGCCGGGCCTGATGGAGAATAGACGTCGGAAGGCCCGCAAGCCGAGCGACATGGATTCCGTGACTCTTGGTTGCAAGGCCCGGCGTCAGCTTGTACAGAAACGTGATCCAGCCCGCGTCGTCTTCTCCTTCCCCTTCTTCTGCCTTCAGGCTACCTTGGCTTTCCAGGAACTTCATGTGGTAGCTCTTCGCCCGTTCGGGGTACTTGAAAAATGCATAAACACAAACCATCACATTCATTGGTGTTTGGAAAAAAAAAGCGGGGTTTCGGATAGGAGGGTTTACCTTGATTGCAAGTTCGTTCAATTGAGGATAATGGGTGATAAAGATAGTCTAGAAGGACGTCCCACCCAGAAAAAGAAAGTAAAGACAGCTTAAGAGATGGTGATTAACGAGGCTTGAAGGAGGAAAGAAGACGAAGAAAAGACGTACAAAGCACCGAATAGAAGAGACGAGCTGGTTGAGGACCGCATTAGCAATAGCCAGTCCGTCGTAAGTGCTAGTGCCGTAGCCGAGTTCGTCGATGATGACCAAGGAGCGTGGGCTGGCCGTCCGCATGATCTTCGCGGCCTCGTTCATCTCGACCATGAACGCACTTCGGCCTTGTGCGAGCTCCTCGGACATCCCCATCCGGGTATAACAGCCATCAAAGAGACCGATCTTTGCCCTTTCCGCCGGTACATAACTGCCTATCTAACCAAGCCAAGGGGGAAAGAGTAAAAAAGACAAACAGATTTTTTTTTTTTCAATCAGATCTCTCGTGGCCGCGTGTGGGAGTAAGAGGCCTTCACTTACTTGCGCTAAAAGAACAATGCAACCAATCATCTTAGCGGTCACCGACTTGCCGCCCATATTATTGCCCGTCAAGATCATAGTAGAGAGGCCGTTTTGAGTGAATGAGCAAGTATTAGGGACGAGGGGATTGTCGATGATTTGTTCGACGATAGGATGACGGCCGTTGCGGATTTCGATTGCGGGATGCTCGACGATGCGCGGCCTAGCGTATCTGTTCTCGACGGCCACGGTTGCCAGACTAAGCAGACAGTCGATCAGACCCAGCCTGTTCACGGCATCCCGGAACCCATCATAGGCTTCCTCCATCGACTCCAGGAAGCCCTCAAAATACCCCCGACTCCTTCGGACTATCAGGGCCCGATACTTGTCCCGTTCGGCTAATAATCGCTGCCCTTCTGCCGTCCGGAACCGTTGTACTGCTGCGTCATCCTTGCCCCCATCCCAATTTCATCTTCCGGTCGGTCACTCATTTTCATTCGATTCATCCGAACAATCTTTTACTCACCTCGTGTGCTGCTGAATTTCGTCCAATTCTCCGGCACCCGGTCTAATTGTTGGTGACGCTAAAGGGGATCGATTTGGATGATAAATATCGATTTTGTGAGACTAAATGTTGCCAGTTAATCCTCAGAAATCTGGAAAAAATTAGGCTCACCACCTCAATCAACATCTCATCCGAACCAATAGTCACATATTCCAGCTTAGGATTTTGAAGAGTGATCCGACAAGCTTGCAAATGCTCAGCCGATTCAGCCTGGATGCACGAAAGGCACTAAGGAAAGGAGCAACGAAACGGATGAGCACTAAGCGTTATGACAAAAGTAGGGGAGAGGGGACGGACGTCTTTCAAGTCGGTCAAGTCGGGATAGAGCTCATCGGCGTTGGTGAACATGTCCTCGTACTCTCCCTTGAGGATCGCCTTAGCATTGAGCTCGGAGCGGTACTCAATCGTCTGCTCTCGGACGGCCGAGAAGACCTCGAAGATCCCCTGCAACAGACTGGAGTTGAACATCCTCTTCCCACTGCCAGCCGAGGACGGACTCCCAAAGGTCGCCGTCAACTCCACCATCACCTCCAGAAATTTCAGTAGCTCTTTCTCCGTGCACTGTCTCCCGTTAGAAAAAAATCTCTCTTGATCAACTTCCACTGGCAGAAGGTTGGTACTAATCAGACGATCTCAACCTCACCTTTCCGTACTGGATCCTGACCAGAGATTTCTCTAGATCGGGAAGTCTCATGCCCAACATCCGTCTCATCTTGATCAAGATCGGATGGTTTTGACTGACGATTATTTCCTCAATCGCATCTGCACGTTCTTTCAAGATCCTATGAAGGTTTTGGCAAGTTGAATAAAAGAATTCTATTTTTTTTTCGGTTTTTTTCCATTCAATCAACCTGGTTGCTTACCTTTGGTCAACCAATGGTTTGCCTATCCATTGCTTAAGAATCCGTTTTCCCATCGCGGTTTTTGTTCTATCAAGGACCCAAAACAAGGAGCCTCTCTCAGTCCGATCGGTTGAGTTTTCAAAGATTTCCACTGCAATGTAAATCATTGGGTGTTAACTAACCATGCTTACAGAAAATATGTGAAGTACAGACATGGTATACGAGAGGCAGAGGAGGAGGAATGTGCTGACAGTTCTTTAACGTGTTGGCATCCAGGATCATGTAGCTTTGATTGATGAAAGATTTGAATTGTCCGGGCTGACGGAAGATGGACTCAAGCTGATACGACTTCATATGCACGATCAAGCCGGCCAAGGCGATCCTACAAAACAGAATTCCAGCATTAAAAACAATTCAGACTATTTGGAAAATGAACACGGAAGGGGGGGGGGTGTGTGGAAAATAGAACATGGCAATTACAGAACGCCGTCTGGAAGCTCGACAATGTGGTGGAGGAACTCGGGCTCAGTCGAGTCTCCTTCGCTGACTGGATTTCCTTTGTCTTGAGACGCCATTGAGGCTTTCGATTTCCGCTTGGGTGGCTGACAGAAGTTAGAGACCAATTTGTAAGCGGACTGGGGGGTGTAGTCGTGATCGGTAGACTCGAGACGTGGCTTGACGGAGGACCTTGCTAGAGGACTGTAATGAATCCGTATCATAATCATGAGAATTTTGGAGTCAAGGAGAGCAGGATGGATGAGGAACTCAACTCCTTGATGAGCCAGTTGATCAGCTTCTCGCTGGGGCCATCCAAGCCGCTCAAGGGCACGAGGATTTCGACGGGTCTCAAGTAAGTCATCCGGGTCTCGAGCATGGAGCGGATGGGGTCGTCGAGCCAGCTGTCCCAGACGATCTCGCCGTTCTGGGGACAGATGGCGGCCATGCTCAGCTGAACCTTTTCCTCCCTCTGCGGATGTCTGGTTGCTGGTGAGGATGCATGGAAGCTGACGATCCAATTCTGAGCCAGTCCCGTCTCGCTATCCGTTATGCCAAGGGCCTGGTTTGGATCGCTCTCCGTCCACGTAGAGAGCGAGTAGACGCCCGCAAGATGTCGGCCAAATACCCGTGCTTTCTTCCCCTTCTCTCCCAGCTCCGTGTTTCGTAACGAGCGCGTTTCTGATTGCACAAACAGTCCGATCTTGTGTCCTGCCATGACCATCCGACTCATATGGATATACAGACTGGTCTTTGGAAAATACGCCGTCTCTCGGCCTGGGATTGCTAGATGTCCTATCGAAAGCACTTGGGATGCTAGGACTGCATCTTCGCCAAAGAGTCGAATCTGAGATGGATTCAAAGTGATTTTCAGTGTTGAGGTAGATCGATATCTTCTTGATCATCTGAAATCCATGACTGACCTTGTATCCAACCTCCATGAAAATAACCAAGTTGGGATACTGCTTCTTGAATTCGGCCCATTGCTGCTCCAACTGGGTTAATTTGACAGTCTGTTGATTTTTCTGTTTTCCTTTAAGTTTAGCCTTATTCTTCGGCTTCTCTTCTTCTTCTTCTTCTTCTTCGTCTTCATCATCCTCTTCGTCATCATCGTGTGAATCCTTGTCAACTGTTGGGCAGTTCTGTTTCTCAGAAGGATGGTACCCGTTGTTTGGTTTCTTCTGCTCGGCTCCTGGCTCCCATATGCTCTGCGGTTGTTCCCATTTGATTGACTTGGAGGCTCTGGCGGCAATCTTGGCTTGGAAACTCTTGGTCTGATCGGAGGATGGTAGTGATTGGGCTTGATCTGCTAGTCGTGTGTTTAGGAATTGAGCCAGTCGGGTCTTGCTAGGTGGTCTTTGTTGTTCGGACGCAGTCTTGGCTTGGATTGGTTGCTGATGTGCTTCATGATGGTGGCTACTTGATGATGATGGTGGTGTCTTTGTTTGGCTTTGTTTTTTGGCGGATGGTAGTTCGATGAGTTGGCTAAGTGAGGGTAGTTCTTGTTCTTGTTCTTGGGTTGATGATGGTGTTAGTGTTGGATGGTCTTGCTTGAGTTTCTTTGATGGTGATGGTTGGTTTTCCTGGTGAGTTTGAAAGAATCGAGAGGGAAGCATGCCTGCTGTGCTGTGAACTGGGGTGGTCACTGCCGGGTGGACTGCCGAGAGACAACCTCGGAAACTTCAAGCCCCGATGTCCCGTGACATCTCGGGAAGCACTCCTCATCAAAAGGAAACTCCCACCAAGAACGACACTGCCAGCTGGTCAGCCTGGGTGCGAGTCAAGCAATCCAAGAAACGGCCTTGTGGGTGCCTGTCAATCAAACGAGTATCCAGCTCTTTACATGTTCAGATCCACTCTCACTGAGCTCTCGCGACCAAGCATTTCTACTTGAGGACGGTCATCGGTGAGGAGCCGACGCCGGAGTGGAGGCAGGGCGCTGGAGGAGGAGGGCAGAAGGATGGGTCGACGAGAAGCCCAGGCGACTGGCAAGCCTTCCGTCAGCCAGCTGAACCCCGGTGAGTGTGATCACAGCACCACCGGGCGTCGGCCCGGTCACACTCGAGCCGCAGCCGCCGACGCATCAACCGGTCCGACTCCGACGAAATCTTGCCACTCCAAAGAATTCATCTACTGCCACAGCGCACTGCCATCAAGGCTCAAGACTTCAACAACCGTCTCATCTTCTCAACATCCAGAATTTCCACTGATCAGACATTCATCTGCTTACATACACCTTTGATGGATGTAGACCTCGTTTTTTTTTTGGTTTCGTCCATTTCCTCTATCGCAAATGCAGGCAAACAGACACATGTCACACACTAAAAGAATTACAAAAATGAAATGTCTTGTTCGTATGAATTCTTCTGCGTGTGGCACAGGGCAGGGAAACAGGATCGATGGCCTGAAATCTGCGAATTGAGGACAACAAAGCTTTGTGAAGACAGACTGGGCAAGAAAAAAACAAGATGGGGATTGGATGGAAGTGTGTATGTATACAACAAGGGTAGAGAGGACAATCAGGCGCAAGATTGGCCTAATTCGACACAGGTAGTGGGTGTTTTGGCGGGCAAGTAACCAGATTGAGGGGGAGTCGGACATCTCAAGCCCTTGGTGTCGCATTGACATCCGGAACCGCTCGCGGCACCGTACGGAGAGCCGTTGGCATCCACCCGGCTGACACTTCCATCGTCCAATAAGTCTCCTACGACCTTGCCGGCACTACAGAGTCTCTAATACACACTCAACGTAATCAACAAAAAAGATAAAGCGTTGCAAGTTCAGGCGAGTCGGATTAGTTCCATTCTGCTTTCCATCAATCGACAGTCTACAATCTGATCTCGGACTGAACCAGAGAGAGAGAGAGAGTCGGCCGCCACAAAGGCTCAAGATGATGGATCGCTCTTACCATCTTGGGGCTCGCGCCATCCGAGGTTACCATGTTGATAGTCAGGAGGCACGAGAGCAATGATATGAGAGCAGCACGGCCGAGCATCGTGGATTCTATAGGTTTCTTGTTGCGGCTTTCAAAAAAAAAGGTGAGAGTCGAGTAAGCTTTCATTCGACTAATAAGTGTGGCGGAAAAAAAATATGAGAACTCTTGAGACTAACCTGGGCTTCCTAGGTTAACGTTGCAAGATGATTCGGTGTTGATTGATAAGGAGCTAAATACAACTTTGTGATGGATAAGAGATGAATGTGGGTGGGGAGGAATAAAGAAACTGCCGATTTGGCAGGGTTTATATAGACGATTTGTGCTTCGTTTCGCATTCGGAGCGATCCAGAGGCGATGGCGCAGACAGTCACACGCTCTCGATATCTTTCCTTCTGCATCCAAGGGAACTGCAGACGTGCGTCGGTGATTATAATAATTACGTGGATGCCGGCGGCCGGGCGGTGCTTAGAATGTTGGGATTCCGGAGTCGGTGAAAAGGACGCTCCTGATCACAAACTTCAAGGTGGCATGGTGACTCTCGTTTTGGAGCACTCCGGTCACCTTGCAAGAGCGGAGGTGGTCAAATAAGAAAAAAAACCTTCGCCATCATATATAATCATCCGACTCGGTTGCCGGCGATCAACTTTCATCGACTGCCCTCGCCGGGAGCAATCTGACATCCGAGTGGTGGTAGGAGCGACTTAAATCATCCAAGGCAATGCCGTATACAAGCCATTCAACAACTGGCGGAGTTTGGAGCGGCCGTCCATGGCTGAAGACAGCTCCTGGAAAGACGGCATGGCGACTAATGATGACTCTTGGATTTGTGGTATGGATGCCGAGAGCCGATCCTATGGGCTGAGCCAGAGTGACTCGGTCGTCGGTGTCATCAAATTTGTTCTTTTACAGCCCCCCCCCCCTTCAAGCAATGTTCTAGTGCGTATCTATGTATCATGCCCATGGCACTAGAATTGCGGTGTAGCTCTAACCACCTTCCGCCAGACTCCCGTCCGAGGGCTTATGTACCCCTGCAGAGGACATCGCCCTCCATTGATAATAAATATACGTCTCGTTTCATGGTTTCATTTCTCGCCATTCATCATCTTCCCTCCTGCTTGCAGTCTGGGCTTGGAGTGATACTACCGGCGGTCGACTCGATTGTATTGCTGTTTTCATTTTGTTTTTCAAGATAAGTTGTACAGTGAAAACTATTCAAACATTTCCGTAAACTGAACAAACAAAAACGAGAGAGGGCGCGGGAAAGTCCAGAAATCGAAAGACCAACTATAGCCATGTGTCCGCGTTTGAAGTTGATCGAGATCGGGTGATTACCGATGTCGAGTTTTTTCGAATCGGGCGAAGACCTTAAGACTATTATTTAAAATCACTTGATCGTCTATTTCCTCGGTCAAGTTCATCGTTGTCTCCTGACTCTTGCTGGTGGTATCCTGGCTTTGATTGAGATCGTTTCTTTGCTTCAAGGACTTCACATATTCTTCTGTTTCCTGGGCGTAGATGTCATATACACAGGTTGCGCAACCTGGATGGGATAGGATGATACCAGTATCAATAAGCGCACATGTATCGTAATGATTCTTTGAACCTATATAGTCTGATCAAGTACATACCTGACATGCAACAGTCTTCCGGCCCTGGTGGTTTTGGAGGGCCAATGATTTCTGGAGAGCTTTGGATATCCTTGCGCTTATCTATCTGATTTGAGCGAATATGCAGGACATCTTGAGCCAGGGATGTTGGCGGTGAGCTGCCGATTTGATTGCTTGTAAACTGATGGCGAAGGTTCAACCGCGAACTGTCAATCGGACGCCAGGTTGATCCTACATGAGGCTTCAAAGGCGAGTCTGATTTCTCGAGCCCAGGAGCGTCGCCATTCGGAGGCCTTGGAACCAGCACATATGTGAGTCGATTGGATTTGGTGCTGTACGAGCGGCACAACAGACCTAGGCGAGTTCTTCCGACCGGACCTGCCATGAGATAGAGGATTTGAAATTTCTCAGCATGCAAGAATGAAGGGTGCTCTTATAAAGACGACGAAATGATTGTGCTCACCTTGGTTTCTTTGTAGTGCACAGACTTGCGCCGGCTGGTGTCATCCCTGGTCAATGCACAATCTGCTCCGCACTTGGGGCGGTGCGGGCCCCGGGGGGTACACACGCAGCACCCGCAGTCCCAGACTAGTCGAAGGGTGTACACCTGAGAGCATCATTATCGGTCGCTAAGTTAGCTTGAGTTAAGCCACTTACCACCGAATTTCAACCGCACCGGACCGAGCTAAGTTGGTGATAACTTGCCTCGGTGGTCCGTTTTCAGCTGACCGTTGGTAACTGTAGCAATGGTTACCAACGTAGCGAGTGCGATCACTCCAACTTGGAGTCCACCCGCCCACACTACACACCACCACTCCAAATCACACCCGGCAAACTACACCGGTGCGACTGGATGGGGGTCGATAAGTTAACTTGCCAATCCATGCGAGTTAAAACTTGCATCAACTTATCGAACCAATAATGATGCTCTGAGCCTACCAGTTTATCCAGGTTGATGAGTCAGAACAAATATCTTGAAGAGACAATCTTCAAAATTGGCATGGAGAATTCCTCCCCACTTATTACTACAGACAGAGTAAGACAATAGCCATGAACAGATTACTGTACCTGGCACTGCAGGATTGATTCCCAGCCGGATTTAATTCATGATTGGGTAACCTCAGGCAAGGGACACTGATTCTTTGAAAGATTTGGTTTGAGTGAATTGTGAAATTGAAGATGGATAGACAATGACTGATGGGATATTCGGGTTGACCTTGACACAACTTGTTGCACTTAGCTTACAGCACTTCTAAAACAAACGTCCTTTCACCAAACCCTCGAGACGAGATTATCCGTGAAAGAACTCAAGGTCTCATCCACCGTTCTAATTCTAGCCCCACCTTCAATTTCCAAGCCTCTGTGGTGTTAGTGGTAGTAGCACAGTTGGCACCAATTTTGAAAAAGCGCATACTAGCAAGTCATGCCAATCGTACACACAAAGGATGTGCACCGATGATTGAAGAAATGGAGTTTGTTCAACCCAGGATTTGTCGGAGATAATTGTTTCTGGTTGCTTCTTAAGTGTCAGCTTCATTCAGTTTGGTCTCAGCTGGAGTCTGAAGTGTGAGCTCCGGGTATTATCTCGGCTACAAGCTTGAGGTTTTGCATCCTGTTGTACTCTCCAGAGCAGTCAGGTTTGGATGTTGCCAGTGGATCCCCTTGACTGGGGCGGCAGCGCGACTGCGCAGAGCTGCGAGAAGGTGACGAGACCCCATCGCAGCTTACGCCCCTGCACTGCTCGATCACGTGAAGCATCAAGACTGATATTTGTACTCCGCGGTGCACGATCATTGGAATCGCGCTATGGAGATGGTTGGGAGGCAAGTATTTGACTCCCAGGGAGAAGTTTCTGCATCTCGGCAGTGAGTCACACTCTAGACAGTTGAAAAACTGAGAGAGACGCAAGCTGGGTTGCGCTTTTGCGCGTTTTAGATTCAATTCGACTGAAATTCCCAAGATATTTTAATGGAAAGAAGAAGGGGGGGGGGCATGTATTGCATAGATTTTCAAGATACAAATTCAATACTACAAAATAATACAAGAGGAGAAGGCCAGCGCCGTCAATTCAGGTGGGGGGCGGGCTGCTGACGAGGAAGCATAACAAGCACGGCCCGGCAAACAGGGCAGGTGTCGGCCGATACAAGCCAGGGCTGCAACAGAAAAGGATTGAAGTCAGCTATGATGGATGTGAAGGTTTCAGAGGTTAAGGAGAGATATTTACTGTAAGGCAGTCGCGGTGAAAGAGATGGGTAGGGTGACAGGGAAGTTGGAGGATGATCCGTCCAGGTTGAATGATGTCCTCGGCACAAATTTGGCATTCCAAAGCGTCACCGTCGGGCGCGGCGGCGGCAGCAGTCGCGTCGGATACGACCAGAGATTCCAAGAAAGCAAAGGTTTCACGGCGGAATCGGTGAAGACGTTCAATCGTAAACAACCAGAAAGCATAAATTTGGATCAAGGGTGTTTGAAGTCGACCTCTTGTGTAGGCGTCCTCGGTAGAAAGCTCTTCCTCATCCAACTTGACAAATGCTCGACGAATGTAAGACGGAACAGACCCAAGGAACCGTTGGTATCGGGCGTCGTCCAGGCCGTTGCCGAAAGGATTAGCTTCTAATTCTTCGTAGCATTTGTACAGACCATCGAATTCTTCGAGGAAGAGCAATCAAAGGCGACGTCGCAGGCGATATAAAGCCGCAAAGGTTCCATCTATCAATTCATCATTCATGTTGTATAACTATTAGAATAAGTCGTTGTTTTTTGTAAAAGCTCTTTTAGTATGGGTGGAGGAGGGAGGCGGAGGGAGAGATGGACACTGAAGTTGGGGTGAGGGAGGACGGTATGGATGGAGCCGTACGTCTATAAATACCTTTCATCCATGCGGAGCCTTTTCTGTAGCAGCACTGGTAGTAGGCTCGGGGGTTAGTCTGCTGAGACTGGTGCTGCTTCATTCAATTGATTCAACGGCTGCAGAGGAGGGGCTCAGCTTGATTGATGCTAAAATTGATGTATGTATTGTAAGGCAGCAACTGAACATTGGTCCCCTTGTGAGATATGTATCACGCTTTTTCTACATCTCTCTGAACAGTTGATGAGCCAACTGCTTTCAACAGGATGTCTTGTTTGCCTTAATACTGGTGGTGTAGCTTCTACCCAAGCGGAGAGTTTTTTCCAGGCGTATTGTGCTTGGCAACAATTTGCACGGAAATATAATTTCAGGCTAATTGTCTTCCTGATCAAGCCAAAAAAAACACTACTGGATTGCAGACTTTTGTTGTTGCTTATCCCCCTAGTCATATGTGTCGGACAGAAAACTGCCCAAGTATTTTCATACCAATGAAATCATGACTCTAGATTCACTCTTCTTTCCTGTCACAGGCGAAAGAACCTGGGCATTATTATTAATCCTTTTCTATACAAAGCCCCGTTCCGGAGGGGCACAATGCCCAGTCAGAGGCAATCTGACCATGATCCAAAACCGCTTGCAAAAAGGAAGAAGGCTTGTGTTTTTTCTTTGTAAATTATTCATGAGGTGCCCTCAAACAAGAAGTCAGAGGTCCCAAAGCAGATGACGCACACGAACCGATGGTAGTTAAGATTTCTTTTGGTCGTGAACGATGAGACGCGAAACATCGGAAGGAGAAAGAACAAGCCTCAGGAAATGTCGCCCAAAGCTTGATTCTTCATTCTCCCTACTAAACCCTCAATCATCAGAATGACATGATAATATCTATCCAAAAACACACGCGCGCTCTGTCTGGGTATGCTTGAGCTGTTGAAGGGCGGGTGGCCATCGTTCAAGGTGTTCGCCGAGAAGCAAATGACACAGATTCAATGGAACGGTCTATTGACATGGGACAAACTTGGCTATGTCCCTAGAACCTTCCTTCTTGTCAACTATTTGCCTTTCCATGTTCCTCTATTAAGTTTCTCTTTGCCAATGCTATGCCGATAGTTGCGCTCACGACACTACTAACAAAACCTTTTCTGAAACTTCAATTAAGAAGCGCGAGCAACCATTAAAAAAGGGTTTTGAGTTTTTTTCCGGTACATACTCGCCTTTTCCCTAAGTATCTGACCAGCCATCCTTATGGTATAAACTCGAGCTAACCTTTTTCAAAGTCATCATTATCCCGTTTCCGAATTCCGACAAACCTCGCCACCTTTCATGGTTCCAAAGTTAGCTGTACGACTACGACTGCGATATTTGACTATTTCTATGAAGTTTGTAGAATTTTCCCAAAGGATGGATGAAAAGAACTTCCTTCCTGAGCTGAAAATGAGGAATTTACTTGGCTGGATTAGACCCTAGAAGATTGACTTGCCTTATCTGACTTGTAGCTAATGCAATGGCAATGTAGAGTAAATTCTCACAAAATGCTATTTGTTCTACAGCTCTTAACACCCACCTTGCTCTACCACGAACGGGAGAGCAGAGCCGGATTCAAAAGGAGTGAAATTTAATTAGGAACTGACCTTGCGCATGAAGGTTTTGTTTTGAGATGCTAATGTGTGTGGGGGTAAGGGATGAATCTCCGGTATGTAAAGCAAGTATCCTTTGAACTGACAGTAAGGTTTACTTCAATTCCATATGGATAGAATCTGATGTATCCATCTACTTGGAGGTCTTCCCATAAGGTGCGAGCAGTTTGGCGTCTGTTGGTGGCTTGAATGCTCGCCTTCCGCTGCAAGTTTTACATCACAACTTCAAAAGGTCGGCAAGGTTTCTTGATTCATTCTCACGATGAGACAGTTGAAAAGGGGACTGAAAAGGTAGATTGAGCTCACGGACATTTCCCGGGCGTGCAAGACGCAAGTCAAGCTTGAGGTTTTCTTGTTAGGTCACACTTGAAGAGCTCGTCGGTCGTTTGCTGCAATGATGGAATTCAGTAGGGGTCGGAGCTTCATTTGCACCAGAAGCAGTTTGGAAAGAATGGGCATTGAATGAGCGGAAACAGCTTTCCGGCGTTTTATGTTGAAGTATTCAGTTAGAGTGAATGATGAGATGAATGATGGCGCCGGGCGGATAGAGAATGTCCGACAGGGAAAGCGGGTTTCTGCTGACAATCTTTATTGAAATAAGCTTGAAGTACTTCCGATAGTGGAGTTTAACTGCTGAAACGCTATCATCCAGTGATCCTTCTCATGATGAAGCAGCTCGGGTTCTTATTCACCCCATCCAGTAAGATTGTGAGCCCTTTCATGAGAGGGATCGCTGATTAATTTTGTTTGAGGGGTTTTATGGAATTAAATTTACTATGGGCAGTACCACAAGCTCTCTCCTGTAGTGTAAGATTGAATACTAAGATTCATTTAGGAAGCAAAACAGGGGATCAATGTAGAAAACATTTGAGCTGCAACTTGAAGAGAAGAAAACTTCCAACAGGGTTATTGTGTATCTCAAGATTTTCTCTGGTTAGGTTTTGTTGGGACTTTGATCCCGGTTGTGTATTTGAATTATATTTTAGAGCTGCATCCTACCAATATTTAGTGAAGATTTTAATTAAAAGTAGACATTTCCTTTCTTGGATAATCATTTGTATGGAGGGAAATCAAACAAGTTTTAAAAAAAATTGATTGTCCCCCTCCTAGCATGAACTTTTCACCGGAAATTTTGGTGGCTATCTTTCATCATTTTAGAGGAAGGGTGATCTTCAGGCCTATTTATCAACATTCTTGCATATATTTTGGGTCAAAAATCCAAGTGACTACCTTTCAGATTTGCTATACTTTGATAATATCAAGGTGATGTATCTATTCCAATGGTTCTTTCAAAGCTATTCTTCAAATCTGTGTTTGATTTTGTCTTCCAACTATCACTATTTTTTATCAGTTTTTTCCAAAAATCATGTTTTGATGAATTCCCATTTCTTACACCCAACATGCCTATCAGTTCCTTTGACTCTAACATTTCCTTTTTCATTTTCCCATTTCTGTGTTTAAACATCTACAATTGCCCCTTTGGGTGTGGATGGGGTATGCAGATTATTTTGAGGTTGATTAAAAGGGTTTGGATTTGTTTCTGGTTTCACCAATTTTTTGGTTTGGGTTTGGGGTCTGGGATTGCTATATTTATATTCATTTTGATATTTTTGAGTATTGGTTAAGATTTTTGAGACATCTGTCCTTTTCTTCAAATTTTTATAATTGGCACCTTTTTTTGCTGGTAGGTGTAATGTAGTGTTAGAAGCCTGTTATTTAAAATTATAATACACTGCGATAGAATTTAATTAGTGGACTAAAACACTAAAAGTGCCATCTACAACACAGCATAGCAACCAGTTTTTTCAAGCTATGCAGATAGCATTATACTATAGTGAGATTTTGTTACCATGTAATAGGCAATGTGATAGAAATTATGATACACTAATGCTTATGTTGGGGTTGCTCCTGTTGATTGGTTTTCTACTATCTATTTTTTATGGATTGATTTTATGTCACACTTTGAAAGATATAGATATAAATGATTTGTTATAGTTTCTTTGTTAATTTTTATTTTAATCAAGAGTTTTGGACAGAAAGCCGAAGCAAAAATTCAGATCTTCCGGCCTTCAAAAGGGGATTTTCACCTCAAAATCCAGGTGTTGCTGAGACGGGAAGCCACTCAGGTCATGTTATCAATAATTTAGCTGATCATTTTGCCACACATACTGGAACTTTAACCCAGGTTCAAGATGCACATAGGATTCAAAGCTCAACAAAAGAAGAGAATATCAATCAAGATAAAGCTGAAGCTAGTTCCACAAGGGTGGGCAAAGAAAATTCATCAAGAATAGAAGATGAAGACAGGGATTTGAGTTTTGTGAATGTAGATCATAGAATCTGGCCATGGATTTCAGCAATGTCAGAATATGAAAAAGAATTTGAGACATCAAGATTCATCAAGAAACCTACCCACAGATACGTCCAGAAACTGACGCAGGAATGTTTCCAAAATGTTCTGCTCCATATCAATGAGAGCTCATCAACTCCAAAGAACACTTGGGATGAGAAGATAGCAAAAACATTTTGCGTGTTATGGGAAGTGAATTTAAGAGTCCTGAAATTACTCTTCCCTGGGATATCATTGGGAGCTTGTGTTGAAGAACAAAGAAACCTCATAACATGGTTTTTTCATTTTGTGCTGAGAAACAGGGTAGCAATTATAAACCAGAATGTTCATCATAGGCATAGATTTCACAATATATTAGAGATTTCATTCCATCAAATGCTATTGGATGCTATACACTCTAATGGATCAAAACCTCATAACAAAGTATCTTCAAATGGGGAACAAAGTTCACAGGAAAATGTACTTGTTTCCAGGCAACAAATCCTGATGATCAAAATTGTTGTTCAAATCCTTGGTTTTTACTATGAGAAGATGGACCCCAAAAAATGGAAGCAAATATTTGAGAATGAAGAGATTTTTGTACTAGAAATTGCCAACTTCATGGGATCCAATGGAAAAACCATAGCACAACTTATGAGAGAAGATGTTGGATATACTGATGAAAAATATTTGGGAATCAGAAGGTGTATTTCTGTCAAATATACTGGAAAAGTTCTCAAAGGTTCATCACAATACAGATTTGATTTTCTTGCAATTTTTAGAGCCAATTTGAAATGTCAAGAGAAATGTCAACAGGCAAGATTGTAACACCTGTAGTGACACTCTTGACTGTGACAAGTAATATAAAATATCAACTAGGATACAATAAGAATAATAATTAATTATAAGTATGCATAGTTAGAAAGGTTTAGTCACATAATAAATACAAGATTGAGAAACTAGAAAGAGAAAACATATAACAAATGAATAATCAACATCAAATAAGATAGAAAATTGATGAGATCACAAAATCAAACAAAATAAAAGAGTCAGATAAACAAATAAGTGGAGGTTTGCATAAAGCAAACAAAACATAAAGTGTGTTGAGTAGAGAATCACCTAAAAGGAAATAGGCTTGAGGACCCTTATTTAAAATTGAGCTATGAGCTCATTGTTTACATACTGGGGATAACCCCAAAAGAGAATCTAAGAATACTTAAAGAGAGGGCTCAAGAGATGAATGATAGTCCTTCCCTTTTTCCTCAGTGTTAAATTATTACTATTCATTAGATAAAAGAAAACAAAATCCACTTCGAAGAGAATTCCCTAAGAAACTAACACTTTTTTAGTAATACCTCTTGTCCTAGGAAGTTACTTTATCTAGCATCATAAGTCTTAACATATACACCTCTTGTTCTCCAGTACAAGTTTTGGTAACACTGGTCTGTTACCCATTACTTGTTATCATATCCTCAAAATCTATATTCCCAACTCAAAGATCTGTCTGAGTCTTGGATTGCCCTGGCTATAAGCTACAGGAAGCTCAAGTAAGCCTCACAAAACTTCCGCTCTGAGCTTTGAATGAAAACTGATTACTTACATCCTAAATTTGTAAAAGTCTACGGTGTGGTGGCGGGAGCGCGCCTTGGCCAAAGCTTTGGCCGGTTTGTTTGGGGCATGCAGAATGCTCGTGGCGCTGATGCGGAAAGCACGCGGAGCTGACGCTACACAAGCAGGCTGAGGAAAGCGGCGGTGCATTAGTGGAAAGTCTAGCTTTCCGAGGCGCGGGAAAGCGGAGAAAAGTAAACCGAATGCACAAGGTTCTGAAAAGCTTACTGCGGGGAGTCCGGGCATCGGCGGACGCCGGGGATCACGGCCGACTGCGGAACGGGGGTTCAGGGTATACTGCGGAGGGGCTACAAGGAGCGGGGAGCACCGAGGGGCGGAAGCGGGGTTCGGAGCGGACCAGAGGCGGAAGCGGCGGTGGGAGACCTGCTTACGAGCGGCCGGAGGACTACCTGGACCGACAGGCGTCGGAGGGGTGACATGCGGAGTCCGAGGGGGTGACAGCGGATGACAGCGCGGGAAGTAGGAAGAGACTGGAGTGTGGGAAATTGAGGAGGAGTGGACTTTGAGGCAGAAGAGGGGGGAGAGAGGGGGACTTATGACGGAAGAACATATCAGAAAAAAACAGAGTGACTTAGGAGTGAATCGTGTATTAGCCTAAAGAATTGTTAGAGATAGATTAGAGTTAGAGTATTACCTACAAAAAGAACAAGAAAAGAGAGCTATTTACCTACCTACAAGACCATCAAGCAAGTTACCCCGGACAACAAACCGGAGTAAGACGTGTTGCGGAGCGGAGAAGTACAAGAATCACCCTAGGGCGCGCCTTACTTTCCACAAATTGGGGGTCTGGCCGGGAAACAACTTCCTTGGTCGAACGGTACGAAGAATAGTGGATGAGCTTTCCGGGACAGTTTTTCACACCGGCGTACCACAACATCGAAAACGAGCGAGCGTGGAACGATTCTTCTGATTCTTCCGACAGCGACGGAAGCGGGAGTACGGTTCGGGAAAATCAACCGAGTGCGGAGGATAAGGGAAAACAACGGGCCGAAACTTTGGGGGACCTGATTGCCGAGGGACGTAATTTGGTCGAACAAGTCCAGAGGAACGGGGTCATTGGAACAGAAGTAGCGGAAAAGGTTAAGCTTTTCGAAGGGCAGGCTTCGGGATCGAGCAAAAAGGTCGGAACTTACGGAGTACCAAGCGAAGGTTCCGAGGAAAGGATGAACTTGGATGACCCAACGCCGCCGCGGTCCCTGGGTCCGCTGAAGGCGAAGATACGTCCGAAGGACTATCCAAACATTCGGTTCAGTACTACCGAAGTGTTGAGGTTCTTGGAGCGTTTCGAGGCTGCAGCGGACGGGGAAGGAGCGGAGGATTTGGATAAGGTTCGGCAGGTGGTCAACTTTATCCA